TGTCTCCACGATCGCCTCTGTCTCCACGATCGCCTCTGTCTCCACGACGTGGCGGCGGTGGTGAGTCCATTTTTGGACGATCTGAACGCCAATTGCCACCATTTTCTATTGGATTACGACGTCCAGTATCTTGTCCATTGTCTTGATTACGACCACGCCAATTGGTGTCACGATTTTCCGATGATGAACCGAAATTATCATAACGTCCACGATTACCGCTCGACCGGTTTTTCTCTTGTTCATTTGATACGTCAATGCGAATTTTACGATTTCTCAATTGTAAATCCGGTTGACTGACCGCTTCAATCAATCCCTCACGTTCGGCAAATTCAATATAACCGAAGCCACGCATTCGTCCGGTGTCGCCATCTTCACGGGGTAGCCGCACCGATACCACCTCAAAATTTGTTACTTGTTCAAAGTATTCCTGTATATCAGTTTCGTTCAGGTCATAAGATAAATTTGAAATATGCGCCAAAAATGGTGGATTTGTTGGAATCGTACTGTCATCAAGTACTCGTTGCGATCGTGGTGCGGTCGGTATGGAATAAGTTATGATTTTTGGAGGTGCATAATCATCGTCTTCACATTCATTTGCCCATGATAAACTTTTGGTCACTATGGATCCAGATGTGGCACCGCCATTTTCACTTAAGAAATCTTGTAAATTGAGGGTTTTTCCCTTTGCCTTTTTTCCTTTCTTGCCTATAATTTTTTTGGTTTTTTTTTTAAAGAGAAACGAAACAAAGAAGAAAATTCAGCAAAATACATTTAAAGCCATTTAAAACGTGTTCATTTCGAATTCATATACAAATTGAAATTCATTACAAAAACAAAGCAAAACAACAAAACACGCATCGTATGCGATTGGAAAAACAAAATAATCAACATAAAATGAAATAAATTCAATTCTATCTATGTCAATGGAATACAGAAAATAAGTTAAAAGTCCTTCATTGATGATTTAGTATCATGTTGCAGTGTTGTAACCTCACAAATTGTTGACTCAATTCACCGAAATTGAGACAAGCAACAAAAAAAAAATAAAATGGTTATTGTAACATTTGCCGTGAATTTTTTTGTATATACCCGTAAATTAAATGAATTGAACATAATTGTTTTGATTTTTTTTTATTTATGCGGTGCATTTTCAATCGAATGCAATTCATGTTTTTTTGCATCTCTTCTGCCGTAAGCTACATTAAATAGAATTCAGCCACGCGGTACATTAGTGATATGCTGCGTGACAAAACGCAGCTAATGTGCTTTATACACACTACAACCGAATAGGAGCGACAGAGAGATAGAGAGAGAGGGAGAGAGATATTGCCAAATGAAATAATTATCCGAAACTTATTCTCTTCATTTTTTTCTCGCAAAAAAACACTTTTTCACACTCAATCGATTTAAATTTCTACCTTTATCCATTGATTCTGATTTAATTCACTTGTTAAACAATGTTAAACACAATAAATGTTAAACTGCAATGTACTAAATCCAAATAAATAATATAGATTGAAACAAATTTTCTTGATAACTAACCTGACATCGCCATATTGAAGAAGTAAAATACCAACTGTTAAACGTCAAAATGAAGTCTTGTCGCAATAGTCATTAGTGGGCACGTGAACTCGCCCCGAGCTGCGGCGAAACATTTTACAGGTTTCGCTTTTTATGTACTTATCACATTCAAATGGATCTGTTAAAAGGTTTTTTTCTCCGCGATTTCATCACAGATTTATATATGGGCGAAAATGAAACAATTTGAATTTTCTACATTCTACGCAAATGTATTTTTGTTTATTTTATTGAACTTTTTATGAAATACTATAATGTTATATGGATGCTAAATAAATTTTTAAACTAAACACAATTATTTTTCTCTAACTTTAAAAAACACCATTTTATTTGAAAAACTTATTATGTTAAGGTTATTTCCATAGGATAGTACCAAAATTAAAAAAATAATGCAGAATTTGCTTAACTCAAAACTTATCGAATTTTATTGAAAAATTGAGAAATAAACTAAATTAGAATAGAAGTGATTAAATTTTCAATTAGAAATAATGCTTCTAATGTGCGTATGTTTTTTTGATGTAATTTTTGCTTATAATTTTTTTTAATGCTTTAAAAATATGTTTATAATTTAGATAAAATAATAATGTTTACACTTGATGAGATGGAATTCGCTTACTTTAAACTTAAATTATTATATCGATATCGATGACGATTTAATGCATCGCCAATTTGAGTAGACGATTTTTCCATTTTCCGATCTCAACATCCAGACGTTGATCATTCTTTTTGAGCTGTTCATTGATTGTCATTAACAGATCAAGCTCAAGGAAGAGAGTGTTCTCTTTGCCTTTTCGATTTAACCGTGATTTACGCGATGCTTCATTGTTCTTAATACGTTGTTCCAAACGCATTCGTTCGGTTGAATTGAGCCGTTTTAGTTGTGCTGGTGGAATAGTGGATGGTCCGGTCTTTGGTGGTCTTCCACGCGGCCGTTTTGGTTGGTATTCGGACACATCGGTACTATTTGATGTTGTACGACAACGTCGTGATTTTCGTTTCACTTGCGTATTTCTCCATGTTGTATCATTGGTGTCATCACTTTCATCATAGTCACTATTCGATTGTGCATTACTTTGAGGTGATGCAACTGGCGTTGGTAAAATTTGCTCATTTTTTGGAATCGTATTTTGTTTCATCTCGACCATGTTTTCAGTTTGTACCTGTTTGTGAAATTGAAAAAAAATCGAAAAAAAAAATTTAGAATTTTTTTGTTGTTGTAAAACACCTTAAAATTAGAACGTAAATTCAAAAAAATTCAAAAAAAAAATCAAAATTATTTACAAAATCCGAAAAATAACCGCGAAAAACAGTGTTAGTTGAAATTAATATCATCTGAATGTGTTGTCTACTCTGAACACAAATGTGAAATGAGCCGAACGCTCCGTACTACGAACTTTTATGTGTATTGTGTGTATGACTCGCGGACATCGATTCATGCTTGAACATGTAATATAACGTTAATATTGTGAAATTCGAAAATGACAATGCGTTTCACAGAAATTAAGGATGATTTCAACTTAAACTCATTGCATAACACAATCAAGTCACTTCAAACTGCATTCGGGCGACAGTATTTTATTTGCGATAAAGAAAAAAATGAAAAACCATCTACACTTACGTCATCTTTAACGATATAATCAATTAAATTAAAGCCGCCGTTTCTAGCGCCTTCCATCTCTAGAATTTCTTCTGTTAGTTGTGGTGTTGAAATAACACCGTTGTTATTAATCGGGATTGTTTCCTCTTCGATGATTGTGACATTTTTTGTTTTCGTGTCCAATTTTATTTTAAGTTTTAATTGTGGTCGATCAATTGCCCGTCTGGCCAATAGTTTTGCTGGCGCAACATGTTGCACAGGCACATTGATTGTGTTCATATTCATATCGGGCCCATTTATTATTTGTTCGCTTTCTTCGATCGGTTCACTTTTAATTTTTACATCACTATATTGTTGCATTGGCATCGGCATGGCGTTAAGTCGTCCAAGCATCATATCATTTCCTATTATTTTATTCGATGGTGTTTCATCGACGTCGATCACTATCGGTTCGTCGATAATATCTTGACAATTAAACATATCTTCAGAACATAAATTCATCTCAATTTCCTGGTGGAATCCCATTGGACCGGGATACAAAAAGTCTTGTGAGTTTTTCAACGGTTGATTTAGTGCGTCTTCGCTGATAAAATTGAACGATTTTTCATTGTTGTTATTAAAAAATTCGATGCTGCAATCGGCATCATCATTTGATGACACCGATTTCACTGAATCAGGCGGTGAATTTAAAGTTGATGGCAATAAAATAGCCGTATTATCATCAGCAAAGTAATCATCGTCTTTGCTCAAGTTAAAGTTAGCATTTGAAGAGTCAATCCATGTATTTATTTGCTGGTCATTTGTACCGAATGCTGGGTCTACACGAAAAAAAAAATCATTGAAACAAACACAATATTATTAGAAAATGTTGCTCAATTTCCAGAATACATTTAATCTATAAGAGCAACAAAATAGTGTTGTGCGTTGTTTGCTTTTCCAAGTGGTCGTCATTTCAAACATCAAAAAAGTCGAAAATAATCGAAAAATCAACCAGAAATTCTTATAAAAATATTGATAAAAACATTTTCAAGGCATTTTTATGCATATATCGATGGACATCATAGAGGATATGAGTGCAAGTGGCAAAAATATTGAATTTCACCATAATTTCATCATATTGTGAAATTCCCTATTTTAATCAAATTTTCGGAGATTTTGGTCATTTTTCGCGTTTTTTAAGTGAAAAACGTGTGCTCGATTCATTTTTTAATTGAAATAATCGATTTATTTTAAAATTATTTTCAATTTGGTGCCAAAAATCATATTTAATTCGCATTTCAGTTCAAGAGACTTCATATTGATGTTGAGCCCATGATAGTCGCCATATTTGTTTTCTCCTTCTTCTTTGTTCGATTGACATAGTGTTGAAGTTTTCATTACACACTTTGTGTATGTGTATGTGCATGAATTTCGTGTTTGAATTTTAAATCATATTTATCACACTTGTAATCACAGTTACAAATTTATTAATTAAAATCAAATCAATTTTGATCATTCGGTATGTTTGATAGACGATAACGGGGAAAAACAGATATATTTTTTTGGAAAAATGCATGGTTTTTATCATAAAATGTTTGTTTGTTTACTTTCGCGTTCAGTCGCGCTTGAACTGTTTGTTTTTAAACGCAATTTCAATTCATATGGAATTAAAGCTCATTTCATTGAGGTTGAAATCGAAAGAGAGACAGATATAGAAAGAAAGTGACAAGGAAAGACACATATAATGGTAATTTTGCCATAAAAATAACAATTAAATTTATGAGCTTACAATTTAGTGTTTGTATTGTTTAACTTCTTGCTTCTAGTTACTTCTTCTAAACATTCGATTTAAAATAGAACGGGAAAGTGTTGTTTGAAAATGTGTTGTTCATGGTAAAATATTACATTGGTCATTATTGGCATGTTCATTATTTCATGATTATTTATTTGGAAAAAAAATTGCAAAATTTTTTTATTGGAGTCGAGACGAATTGAATAACAATAAACATGTTCGTTGTTTATTCCATCTTCGGTTGGTTCTATGAATTCCTTTCCATATAAACACCATTAAATTAATAAATGTGTTTTTCTTATAATGTATCATGCGTATGAAAAACTTTAATGGTTCACATAATTGAACCGAAAAATTTAAATCAAAATATGAAACCTTAATGTTAGGGAAATAAATTTATTAAAAAAAAAAACATATTTGTTGGATAAAGACCTTTGGCCGTTGAATGATGTAGCCACCGATTCTCGTTCAGCATTTCGAACATTTTTTTGTTGTGTTTAATTGATGTATTAGAAAGTATTCCCTTTGTAAAATGAATCTTCAAAAATTACAAGCGTTCAATCTCAAATACGTCTTAACACAAGCACGGTCAACTCGTGAATAGTGTTCGCGTACGACGAAACGGCATATATATAGCGCGTCACGTTTCAATGTGTGCGTGTTATATGGCACGCATAAGTTGGTCATGTGTATGGGTGAACGAACAACCTGTGATATCTATTTGTCTTTGTTTTTCTCGTGCGATTGATACAAGAATTGAGAGCAGTAACTACAATAGGTGCACATTCACATTGCTTTGTGATTGAGATTTCATGTTGATTCATGTTTTTGGTTTTCAAAAAAAATTGCGATTCGATTTTTCTGCCGAATTTTCATGGAGTTTATTTTCGGAAGAAGTTGAGATTATTATTTTTTTTTAGCATTTCGACAATATTTATGAATGGCTCCTTGATAAAGACGATAATGATGACCCTTGCATAGCAATACAACGATTTGTTTGTTTTTTCTTATTCATTTTAAATGTAAGCAAACAATTTATGTTTGAAAATAAAAATTAAAACAGAAAAAAAACCACTCACCGATCACTGGTGTCATTAGTTCATCAAACCCAGTCATATTGTTTTGCATCATAGCATAATTGTGGTTGTCCAAAAACGAGTCCATCGTTTTCGTCATTGTTGTTGTTGATGATATTGTCTGCGGTATACTCAATGAATTTGCTTCCGATAAAAGTCGATCGGTTGACCACTTCGGAATATGATAAAATCCAATATTCGTTGCCGTTGGTGTTTGAGAAATTGTTTCGTCGAATAGATTGTCGTAGATGTTGTTCGATTGCGTTGTTCGATTTTCGAATAGCCCCTGATTTTGGGTACAATGCTGTGTTTTCGGTAAACATTTTGAACGGGACTATGTGTGTCGATAAAACAAAGAGGAGGAAAAAAAAAGAGAAAAATCCGCAATTAATATCTTGCTATGGTACGGTTTGAAAAAAATGATATTGAGTGCTTTGCATTCATATGTTCTAACTTATATAGCTGGTGGTTTTTTTATGATTTGATTTTAAAACTCTAAAAATTTACCGTTATAAAAATCATATTTTCTTTTTTAATAGAATTTTTATCGATTTGGTTTTTTCTGTATTTTTTTCTCTTTTAAACTGAAACTATTTTGTGGTCGCCGGTAAGCTGTAATCAATTATGTTGTTTTGTTGGCTGTTTTCGATTCTATCCAATTACACATGCAAGTGTTTTCCACGCTCGATATCAACGGCTCGTTGGCTCGTATTTATTTACATTTATTTCTTTATTAAAAAAATCATTTTCATCATTCGACTATGTTTGTTTCTATATATTGAGTTTCTAAAGAAAATCCCTTTCTCATAAAACAAAATGATATGATAAGAAATGTTTCTTTGGTTTAATTTGAAAAACACTGATATGTTCACACATTAAAAAAAAATGTTGTTACTCTGTCTGTTAAAAGGTCTATCACTGCTAAATTTGTCATTTATTTTTTGTATTGTTTGCACTACTCAAATATGTGATCCGATCTCTTTGGATGCAGTCAAATAATTGGGTTTATTTTATTAATATTTTGTTTTTTTTTTTGTGATGCAGAAACAAACAATCGTTAGAAAATTTTCTTGAATCTGATTTCTTCAAATCAATTTAAATGAAATGATAAGGAGAGAGAGAAAAAAAATCTGCTGGAAATAGACAATTTTGTTTTTTGTTCAAAAAAAATGTTTTTTTAAGTAGAAAAATGAGTTACATTAGAATTGGAACTTTATCAATCTCTTCTAGGGATGGAAACACAGAGATGTGGACAATTTTTAAAAAAATGTCGCCTTGGATTGATTTTGAACACTTAAATTAACCATTTAACAAAAATATAATACTTACAAATAATTCTCCGTTTAGTTCGTAGGTAATTGTAAAGCTTTCAAAAGCCAACAAAAAATAAGAAGTCGGGCTCTGTTGCCTCAACCTGTAAAAAACACACACACACAAAAAATCAAATAAACCGATTAACACTCGTTGCCAAGTTATAATTAAATAGTTTCGATAATTTAACCAAAGTAATAACTTTTTGTTTGTCGTTATTCGATCCGAATTATTTTTGTCGAGTGCTCTTGATCTTATCGGAAAGCGAAAAATTGATACGTACAAAGTGATGTGTGAATCACGAAACTCAAGTATATTCTATAAATTGATTCGAACGAATTGGCGAATAATCAACGAATGCTATTTGTATCGAAAAAAAAATCCAAAAAGCGGACTTTCCATAAAATTTACTTTCGGCCGAAATGCGAGTATGTACAAGCAAAATCATGTTTTAACATGTTTATTTCGTCTTCATTTTCTTCAACGTTAATATAAGTCTGCGATTTTGTGTACCCTACATACGCACATACACAAATCCCGCGTATATTCTCAATACGGAAAATAGATGGATAGAACTCGACAAATGCCTTTACAATGGCTTAACGCTTTGAATGGAGTGCGTGAGTGTGTTAGAGAGAGAGAGTGAGTGAATGGAGTAGGGGTCACATGATTATTCGTTGTGAAATTCATTGTTTTTCGCAATTTAACCAATTTTTCGATTTAAAATCCAATTATTTTTATTGACATTTATATTATTTAACATGAAAGAAATGAAAATCGATAAAAAAAAATCAAAAATTCGACGAAAATGATCGGAAAACCGATTGAAAACATGCGAAAATTAAAATAATCACACACACATACACAAATTTCGCGGATTTATTTTTCGATTCGATTTAAAAAAAAAAAAGAAAGATTAAAAAAATAGTTTTAATGCTTACGTACTTCGATCGCTTGTTAAAAACACAAAAAAAGCGCGGACAAAAAGCCTGTACGAAATTTGATTGAATTGGCGCCGGATGTATGCAGGGAAACCGATTGCCTTTTGTCGCTTATGAAATCACGCTTGAAAACGCTTGAAAAATTATACTTTTGTTCGAGTTTTTTTTGGTCGCAAAATTAACTTGTGTACCAAATCCACACTAAGTTCAAACAAAAATAGTTTTATTTTACTGGCTTGAGCACCGAACTGTTCAATTCAACAGTAAAAATCTGACTTAAACGAATGAATTTGTGTTGTAATTTTTTCGCCGCTTTTGCTCTTCAGTTGTGTTTTGTTCAACAAGTCCACATAGAAAATAGAGCCAATGCTGATATATGGCGTCATTTTGAGCCAATCACAAAGCGAGTTCGACATTACGTGTACGTAACGCGTAGTTGTATTGGTACTCTTTACACACAACGCACATCCACATTGTCTTGTTTGTTTATAAACTGCATAATCATATGTATGGTTGTTGTGTTGTATGTTCGCATACAGAATATTGCGATGAGTCATGTGCTTTCCGAGAATCGCTATGTTTCCCCCTCTATCTGTAAGATGTGACGTCAATTCAACAACATCGCGTTCACCGGTTAACACACTCTCATTCAAAGCACATCAAATTCGCTTTTTTCGCGTTCACTGTTTACCATATTCAAAAAAAAACCCAAAGCACTCCAACTTTCTTCGTGCTAAGTTTTATGTTCGCCTACTACTTTGGTCATTCCATCAATGCATTTTAACTTACCACTCATCGTTGTTCTCCACATATTTCTTGTCATTGTTGTATTGCCGCAAAAAATGTTTGAATGATTAAAATGCCAATGAAAGTTCGTTTTATTTTTTCGCAAACAAACACTTTGCAATTGACCGTACATTTGATGATTTTTACTAATTTCGTATTTCAGTTTATTAGCAATATACATTAAATCACAAATTTTACCACAAACAGACAATACAATACACAAAATCACTTTGATAACAACACAAATCACTGATGATACGATTTTCGATGGATATGAAATAATTTGTCCGACACAATGTTGCATAGTGTTTCGTTTGAAATGAATTTATTCGCTTTAATTTTTATACACAACTCTTGTGATGAATGATAATAGCTGAATTTGTTTTGAGTTTTCGAATTTGAATGGTCACCAAATATTGTTTTTGAATAACACTAAATGTTGCTATTATTATTTATTCTTTTGTTTGTTTGTTTGTTTTGATGAGTTTTTTTTTTGACGTTTTTTAAAGACACGTCAGTTATAAATACACTTCTCGTTTCGTTGTTGGGCGCTTCTTGATGCTCACTCTTTGTTTAAAATCCGTAAAATTTGAATGAAATAGAAAAAATTTCTATCGATAGAAATTTATAATAAGTGTTCAGTGAATGGATATTCCCAATTAGCCATTTATACCGATTATAATTGTAAAATGCAATTCAAAAATTATGTAAGTGTATAATTTACACAATGGACAAAAATTACAATGTTAACCGTTATGTTAAGAAAATTGAATGCAAAATTCTTAAAATTGTCGTCGAATTTTATCGCACTTTAAATAATAGCTTGTTTTATTATTATTCTTGTGATAACGAAAGGAGCTCGAATGAAATTCAATTGAAAAATAAACTTTTTGATCGCAGGTAATTCAAATAACTCTCAAGTATATAAGACGATTCTGTGTGCTGTGATAGTTTGTATAAGACTGCTAGCTGCGCGACTCTCATGTGATGTGCTTTGCTATTTTGGCTGATGCAATAGTTAGCACAGTTTCATCAAACACGTACATCTACAAAACTTTGAATGTCCAGAAGATTCGACATAAAGCATCTTATTTAACCAAAACATTTCGATGTGAAAATCATGCATTTTTTATATTTAAATGGGTTTTATGCTGCATCGCATAATTTTTTATTCAATAAATTGCATAAAAATCAACAAAAAACATGATAACATGATATGTGAGCGAATTCGAATGCAACGACATCTGTTGGCAACTTTTTAACTGGCAAAAAGTTTTCCAAACGACATTTCAAATGAATTTTAATATTTCGACGAAAAACTTTGAATTATTGCTGGAAAAAAATTCGGTTATTTTTTTATATATATAAAAAATAAAACAAAATCAATTTTTATTGAGAAAAAAATGCAAACTATGAGGATGAAATTCACTTGTGAGTTTCTATTCGCACCATATAAAGCTCGATCAATTATACCAACATGGAAGTATTTAATGGAAAGCCGAATTCTTTGTCTTGGGAATAAGATTCAAGAACTTACAACAAAAAAAAATGTGTGTATGTATGTTCTCTTTGTTGTTTTCATATGGTCGATTGTAAACAAAATCGAACTTGGTATTCTGTCAAAAAAATGCATTGAGAATTCTCACCATTAATGAATGTTGAATTTTATGCTGTATATGCATAAATCGCGAAGGAATCGAACGATCATTTATGTGAACGTAAGAAGGTTTTCGTCATCGTTCATTCAATTTTTTAATGACTCGACACTTTTTTGTCATTATGGATACGTAATCACGTTTAGAATTGATCTAAGAATATTGATGAAAAGAAGAATTTCTAAACAGAACTGGTTTATTGTTCAAGTGGACACGCACAACAGGTCGGTATATATCATCGATCGTCAATGTTAATTAAAACAAACAAAATTTCTTTTCACCGGCCAAGGCGGTTTTCAGCTAAAAAAATTGTGGATTTTATAGTTTTACGCAAGTTCTTTGATGATCGACAAATATCAAACACAAACAAAAGTTACCATATATATAGAATTTTTATTACATATTTCTTTCATTCGACAAATCTGAACATTCGTTCAGATCTGAACATTAGCTCTTGTGGTGAAAAATTAGAATTTTTAGAGAAAAAAAAGCCGAAAATATAAGCAAATTTTATTCAATTGTGTAGATCTGATTTACAAATTATTGGTTTCCATTCAAATTCATCTCCGGCGCCGCATCATTATAATTGCAAATATATTCGTACCGAAGTGATCTTTTAATGTTGTAGAACCTCTTGCTTGTGTGCTTTCACATACATGCAACCGATGATAAAACTTGGCCGATGAATAATTGAATTTAAAATAACAAAAGATTCCGATCCAATCGCATAGATTTAACCAAATACCTTGATCAGTTTATTCGGTGTGTAGTTGATGAACATATTGCTGTGAAATTTCTGGAAAATCAAACCAAAAATGCATAGATCACGACTGAGTCTTTTGAATGGTCACAGATTGTTCACCAAATTGAAACTAGTTCGCCAGTTTGCCACAGTAATTGAACAAAGGGTATGTAAAAGATAAAATTGATGGGAATTTATTATAAAAAGTCGTCATAATTTGGCAGGCTGGAACATCATTAAAATTGGACGCAGAATGGGAAACAGCTATACCATACAGCAGTATACCGGGTCCAAGTAAATATGCCTTAATTCGTGGTTTTGCTCCTGGAGGTAAGATTTCCATATTCCGAAAAGTAATTGAAAATGTCGCCATTAAAACTTTTTTTTTTGAATCAATTTTCAGGAAAGTATCATGATTTGCCGATCGTTGATATGCATCGTGCGATGCGAAATGATTTCGGTGATGTCGTTCGAATTCCGGGCTTATTGGGCCGGGCCGACACACTGATCACATTCGATCCGAGCATTTTCGAAAAAGTGTTCCGCACTGAAGGCCAGTTCCCCCGGCGTCGTGGATTGGAAACATTTATTTATTATCGAAAAAAAGTGCGACCCGAAGTGTTCGGTGATACCGGCGGTTTGTTGAGTGAACATGGTGAAAGATGGTTGGATGTACGATCAAAAGTGAATCCGGTTATGTTGCAGCCAAAAATCGTTAAAATGTATGTGGAGAAAGTGGATCAGATTGCAACTGAATTTTTGGAGAAAATGAAAACGATGCGCAATACAGAAACAATGGAAATGCCATCAAACTTTGGACATGAATTGAATTGTTGGGCACTTGAATCGATCGGTGTTATTGCACTCGACGAACGATTGGGCATTTTACATAATGCACAACATGTTCACGGTCAAACAATCATCAACGTATGTAGTTTACCTTCTTCACTTTTACACCCGCTTACATAATTTGATTGCATTTATTTTCTCTTTTTTTTTAGAGTGTAAAAGATTTTTTCATTCTTGCCTATGAACTGGATGTGGCACTTTCATTTTGGAAATTTTATAAAACACCCAAATTCTATAAGCTGATGAATGTGTTTGATCAAATGACCGAAACGATAATGCATTACGTTGATAAAGCTGTGAAACGACTTGACACCATTGATCAAACAAAAAGTGATGCAAGCGATCGTAGTGTTTTGGAGAAATTGTTGTTGATTGATCGACGAATTGCAATGGTTATGGCTTTTGATATGATTTTGGCTGGCGTTGACACCGTACGTAACGAGATTTGCATTCAAACAAATTGGAAAATTAATCGATGATTTTTTGTTTGCTTCAAAATTGATTTTTTTCTTGTTTGGTTTTGTAGACTTCAGCGGCGTTGGTCAGTTGTTTGTATCATTTGGCCCAAAATCCCGATAAGCAAATTAAACTACGGGAAGAGGTGTGCAAATCATTACCATTGAAATCGTCAAAGTTGACCACAGACAGCCTGAACAGTATGCCATACATGAGAGCTGTATTGAAAGAGGCGCTCCGTATAAGTCCGGTGTTGGCTGGTAATGCTCGTCAAACAGGCCGCGATATTGTATTGAATGGCTACCAAGTGCCAGAAGGTGTAAGTGAGAGATCGATTTCCATATATATATTTTTTTGGTTTTTTTTTTCTGTCGGACTTTTAGACTGAAGTAGCCATGGCCACGGTGGTTTTGCAAAATGATCCCGAATATTGTCCAAAAACCGATGCATTTATTCCAGAGCGTTGGATTAAAGGAGATCCCCTATATGATGATTCAAAAATGCATGGCAATAATTCATTCGTTTATTTGCCATTTGGTTTTGGTCCACGGTCATGTATCGGACGACGATTTGCTGAAATGGAAATTTTCATAATGCTTTCAAGGTTTACACAGAAATTTTGCAAGAAAACGGAAATCAAAGTCTTTAATTAATAAACTTCCGTTGAACATTTTTTTTTTTGCAGAATCATTCGTGAGTTTAATGTTGAGTACCACTATGGGCCATTGAAATATAAGACGAGTATCATTTTGTCACCAGATGAAGATTTAAAATTCAAATTGACCGATACAAAGCATTAAATGATTGTATTTCCAATGTCCGCAGCTTAACGAATTGTTCAGTGTGTATTTCTTTTGTTTTTCCTCTCTCTCGCATTAATAAATAACATTTATACGCACAAATACTTAAGTATGCATTGAAGAGTAACTCGTTTTGTTTGTTTCCTATTTGTACACACATTATATATGAGCCAAATTTCAACAGCATTCCAGAGAATCCATAGAAAAGTAAAAGAGAAGAAAAAAATAAGTTGTTTTTATGTACATGTCGTTTGCATATGTTTTGTTCATTAGACAAACAGCAGCAGCAGCGAAGACACGCCGTAAGTAGAGCAGTGGAAAGTACGTTTGACACCGTATTGCTAAGGTACTTGGTGTTTCGGTACTTTTCATTCATACATTTGTGATTGACATAAATTCGCTCTATCTCTCTCTCTTTCTCTATTTTTTGACGTTTGTTCATTTATTTAAGGATGGTAAATGTCATAGTGTTCATATCATTGCTCCGAAATTTAGTTTGAAGCAATTTATATCTATTTAAAACTGAACATTTGACTCAGTGTGTCAAAGTAGAACCATATTTTTTTTATATAGCATGATTAAATCATGAACATTGTATTAAGTTTAAATTTATATTAAATTCCAAATGCCATTAATATTATTTTTTATATAATGCTTTGCGTTATATAAGAACAAAAAATAATTTAGTAGCAGCAGATAAAAGAGGGAGAGACAGGGAGAGAGAGAGAGAGAGTGAGTGTGGAAACACATAGAGTGAGCTGAATGTGGTTGTTGGAAGCAAAGTATGTTGCCACTTTATTAATTTAGTAATTAAATAGATAAAGTTAAAATAAAATGGATGGAAATAATGCTAAAAACATCGACAAAAGTATCGATTGGATATTCCATAAATTACGAAGGCCAACATTTATGTGGCATTTGGCTAGCAGCATTACCATAGCCACGGTCGGATTTTTGAGCAAGGTTATCACGGGTAAGTTGAGAAAGAGAAACAAAAAACATTTTTCAGTGTAAGATTTCAAATGTTGAATTGGCGGCTATTTTTTTTTTTCGTTATCAAAACTGAAATGTGTTAAACGTGAACATTTATGATACGATTATAAACAAAACGACAACTTTTTTTTTACAGCTTGGCTGAATCGTGCTCGAATATACAATAACGAGATACTCGCTTCGATTATCGATACAAAACCAGAGCATATACCGTTGTTAACTTTATCTAATCATCATTCGTGCTTTGATGATCCTGGTATTTGGGGTAAATGCATTGACGTCACTTACATTACTCTCTTCTCTTTTTTTGTCAAAACGTGCGCGTGTTAATTGACTGATTTTGGTTTGTTTACATTTTACAGGAATCTTACCAATTCGACATAATTGCAATTTTCGGAAAATCAGGTGGTCGTTAGCTGCTCACGACATATGCTTTACCAAGAGATATCATTCTTACTTTTTTATGACCGGTATGTAAAATATCATGTGGCGTTTTCTTTTTCGTTAACATTGCCATGGGGTTGATTTTGCATTGATGACTAAAAATAGTATATGGGTCGCAAATATATAATTACGTGTGTTTTTTTTTGCTGCATTTCATTCGATCGTGAGAGCATGCATTGCATTGTCTTGATTTATTTGCAAATTTATATTACTTCACCTTATTTCGTATTAATATCGCGTGGTAAAAGTGAGAATATTTTATGAAGAACATAATTTTGAAAATGCGAAAAACATTTCCAGTTCCGAAAGACTTGTGACGAAGACAATTTCCTTGAGTCGATGTCATTTAAATAACACAAAACAATATTCGACCCAGTTTTTTTCAATTTTTTTTTTTGCTCAAATATTGTTTGCTTTGATTTTTTATGAACTGTCCCACCTTTAAAGTAGCATTTGATATTGTTTTCGTTACGAAGTGTGCTAATCGGATTGCATTTTTTTGTCTCTTTTCAGGCAAATGTATTCCAGTAATACGTGGTGGTGGTGTTTATCAAAAAGCGGTTGATTTGTGCATAGAAAAGCTTGCCATCGGCGATTGGGTTCATGTATTTCCCGAAGGAAAAGTGAATATGACCAAAGAGAATCTGCGATTCAAATGGGGTGTTGGACGAATGATTTACGAATCACCAGTTATACCAATTATCGTACCAATTTGGCACGAGGGCATGGACACTGTTTTACCGAATTATCCGCCTTATATATTAAAATTTGGGAAAAAAATTACGATTAACGTGGGTCAACCGATAAATATTAGTGATTTAGTTAATAGCCTAAGATCGAAAAATACACCAGAGCCAATTGCAAGAAAGATTATTACCGATCGATTGCAAGAGGAAATGAACGTAAGAAGAACCATTGAATTGCCGATTTCAAATTTACTAACTGTGTCCAAATCTCTCTCTCTATTTCAGATTCTCAGGCAATCAACTGAAAAATTACATGCTGTGTAGCATTATCGGTATATCCAAAATGATAAAAGAACAAAAAAAAAAGTTTATGGGGATTTATTATTAAAAAGAGTAAAGTTTATCCGTTTGAAGTATCATACATAGGTTCAACAAATTGTTTTCAAATTGTTTAGCAAATAATGAATATTCTGGAATTTATACATTTCAAATCGAAATCTTTTTAAAACATTTGAAATAAAAGCAATAATTTCATGGAATTATTTATCCAATACACTTTCTCTCTCTCTCTATCTCTCTCTCTCTCTTTTTCTCTTTTATTTAATGCATTTCATTTTACTATAGTTATAAACATAATTATTTTCGATAAATCTTTTTATTTCTGTGATTTTACAACATTAAATTCAATGAACGAACAAAAAAAAAATTACATGAAAATGAAATAATATCAAGCGAGACTAACTAATAACAAAAGAAGAAGATAGTAATGGCAAAAGCTTAAATTTTGCTTCGATGAAAAATTGTTCGAATAAACAAGATTATGTATGATAAAAGTGTTTATTTTTTAAAAATAATAATGCATTGTGCGCGCGCCATTCCAAAAAAAAAAAAAATAAAAACCATTTTACATATTTATTATATTTATTCGGTTTCTTCTTCACTTTCGTATTTTGAACTTTCCGCTTCGTTGGATGCAACCGATTGTGCATCATCGTCAGTGACGTCCACCGTTTCATGGTTGATAACAACATCATCTTCATTTTCAATATCGTCATTATCAGCATATTTTGAACTTTGTGGACCTTCACTTATTTCATCGGCCACTGAGTGACCACTTTCACTGGCCGCCTCTTCCTCTTGTTGTTTGCGTGCTTCGGCTTCCTGTTGTCTTGCAAGTTCTATTTATAAACATACGGTGTCAATAATTCAATTTTGAAACATACAATCCATCCAGAGAAATCGTTATCTTCGGTTACCTGCAAGTTCAGCAGCTTGTCTCGCTATTTCGGCCTCCTGTTCTTGTTGAGCGATCTCTTCCAATTCAGCTAATCTTGCCATTTCGATTTCACGTTGTTTTTGCTCTTGTTGACGACGCTCTTCTTCGGCAAGTCTTTCTGCACGAAGTTGCTCTTCATCGACTTCGCTTTCGGAGAGTGGCTCGTCATGGGCACTAATTTTCAACGTAAATAGGTCAGGATCGTCAAATTAATGTGTTTTTATGAAGAGAAATAAAACTGAACTTACATTGAGTCATCTGCAGCGGACGGTTCGGCTTCGGAGTGTTCGTCATGTGAAGGTTCTTCTGGAGCGGATTCTATGAATTGACCGTGTTCAATAACATTCTAAATTGGAAGCAAAATCGTTAACATACCTTCGGCTTGTCTGGCGAGTTCGGCTTGTCTCTCACGTTCTTCAGCTTCGATTCTTTCTTGTTCCTCCTTTGCTTCTTGTTCTTTGCGTTGACGTTCAAGCTCTGCATAAAATTCGGGTATATTTATTGCAATTGTTAAATCGGTATGTGTTACTGTCGAAACTTACCGGCCTGTCTCTCAAGCTCAGCTTGTCTCTCTAGTTCGGCTTGTCTTTCGATTTCAGCCTGTCGTTCCCGTTCAGCTTCTTCAGCAGCAATTCTTGCCAATTCCATTTTTTTGGCTTCTTCTTCGGCTTTTTGTCTCTTCAATTCTATGAATTTTACAATAATTTTGAATGTTTATTGATTCATTTCTACTAATTTTGTTGCCACACTTACCAGCCTTTCTATTGAGTTCAGCCTGACGCTGACGTTCTGCTTCCTCTTCAGCAGCGATTCTCTGTTGTTCAAGCTGACGAGCTTCTTCTTCTTCTTCAGCCTTCTTACGTTCTGCATTTTTGACAAAAAACAAAAACTCATCATTCAGTTTTTTTGAAAAAAAGTGAAAAAAATGTTCTTTTTCAAATACCAGCAGCTTCTTTGCGTGCACGTTCGGCTTCCTGACGTTGTTGTTCCTTCAAACGTTCAGCTTCTTCTTCTTCAATTTGCTTTTGTTTTTCTGATTTTTTCGCCTTGACTGGTCTATAAAGGATCATCGAAATAAAAAAAAAAATTATTTCATGATTTGATTTGAATAGAATGCAATCGAAACATACTCATCCTGTAATTTGGATGCGAATTCACTCTTTCTCTTGGCAAAGGCATCTTCATCGAATGTCTCCTCGGCCAGCGCTTGTAGTCGTTGTGCGCGCAATGCTTGTTTGTCTCTCATTTCATCATCTAATTCATCATCGTTGCCCTTGGGTTGTGAAAATTTGCGTGAAGGTCTCAATGGATCTAATTTAGCTAAAGGTTGAAAATCAAACGAAGATGAAATTTAAACTTACCCAATGTAACTATGTAAAATTGGCTATTTTGTGTGTATGTGTGTGTGTTTGTGTGGGTGTGTGTGTTTATTTTATATGTTTGTATAGCTTTTGTACAATAATTTTTTTATATAAATATATTTAGCATTCACATTCAATCAAAACACAGACGGCAAATAAAAATATGTAATTAAAACAAATTCTCATCATTCTTGGTTTCTTTAGAATGCCATCGACAAATTCTTTGAATAAAAAGAACTTTTTTTTTATTTTATTAGTGATTCAAAATTTATGTACATCAAATCAATTATTTTCATTTATTATTTGTTGCATATGTACAAAGACAGGTTTATATTACTTTTAGTGTATAGCAAAAGAAACGGAAAAATTAAGAAAAAAAAAAAAAACAGAAAAAATGAAATAAAATCGTATTTTTTTGTTGTGCTTGTTTTGTTTTTTTAATTATTGCATATGTTGGTTTTCGGTTTACTTTGTTTCATTTCATTCTCTATATATTGGGTTCGGTCGTACATTATTGGTTTGCATCATAATAAATTCATCATCATCAGCATATGATTGATTTTCAACAGGTTGCATAAATAGACATAAAAAGTTAAAAAGGAACAAACAGCAACAACAAAAAGGAGAAACACAAATGTAAATAGGTATTGAATGTGTAACACAATTTCTTTTCGCTTTTTTTATATATATATAACATCGACGATCGCGATTCCATTGTTGCGCCCTTGTCCTGTGCTGGCGCCTTTAAGCTCTACGAACATTCAGCTTAAAGATAAGAAAGAACGTTTAAACAATAAATTAAAAATTTTGGAACACAAGCATCGAACAAAATTATAAAGAAAACAACAACGTAACGAAAAAAAACAAAAAAAAAATAAAAAAAAAAAAAAAAAAAAAACATGACACAAATACGGTGGACAGGATGGCAAATTCTACTGTTATTATAGTTTTTAAACAAAATAACATTAATTTTTTCTCTCTCCATTTAACAAATTCAAAATCTACATCGAATCAACAAAAAAAAAATAATAAAATTGTGACAACAGACAAGAAGTATTAAAGAATAACAGTGATATGGAGAGATAGAGAGATAAAGTGACAGAAAGAGCTTTTCTGATGATTTGCGTAGTGTGTTTTCTTTTAAATACGTAGAATATACCTACATGATTCTAAAGTTTTAAGGAGAGGTGTTTCCTGGTTTTCAGCGGCGGCCTTACGATTTTTCAGGTAATAGGATAAAAGATTTACATCGTTGCGTACTTTATCATCATCATAAGCCGTTGTTGCTCTTCGCGTATTGTAAGCTTTGTTTCCGACTATGCGAACCGATGCTAAGTGGCTTTTCCCTATTTTTTTCATTTCAGGGTTTTTTTTTTATTTCGAGTGGGTTTTTGATAGGATTGATTGTGTTTAATATGTTTGTTCAGTTGAAAGCAGTTGATTGATAATCGATGAGGAGGGCGTTTGGTTGGTTTGTTGTTTTGTTCAGTCAAAATGTCCAGCGCATATCCATAATTTGCGATTTGGTTTATTTTTTTTGGTTTGTGTTTCGTTCACAAATTTCGGAAACAGTACATAATAATATAATGTATACAATATTAATCAAAAACAGATCAGAATTCAATTCTTATTCACGATACAAATCAATGTATGTCAGATTTTAAGATGTTCAGAGGTAAGAAGATGTCGTTGACTTTTCAAAGTAAAAAAAAAATAATAGTGTTTCATTCAGCGCAAGTTATCGTGCATTTTCGTCAACACCCGAAAATGGTTAGTGATGAAAAACAGGCATACGAGATTGTATTATTAGTTAGAAAGAAGAAAATGATTAGTTACACATTCAAAATGATTCAATATAGTTTATGTTTGGTGTATGTGTGTGAATGATGAAAATAATGTTTAAATCGTGATGTAAGTTATGTGACATTATGTACAAATCTATTTAACGCATTATGTAGATACATTGTTGCAATGAAACGAAATTAAATGAACATGTGTGTAGCACATTAAAATGCATTCACTTCATTTAACATTTTCATTTTGGTTGCGTTACAATGTTAATGAGTCTGAACTGAAACGAAATGAGCATTTTTCTTTCTCTCTTTGATAATTTGCTAAAATTCTAAAATGACATACCGATGTACTTGTTTGGATTCCACGATTCGAGGCCGTTGTAAGTGGTGCTCTTTAATGGTGCAACGAGATGAGCCACAAATGAGTCGGGACCATAACGCTTTTCATACCTATGTAACATAAACATTGTTTTTTATCCCGCGTGCAAAATGCGATTTCGTGCAAATACTCACTTGGCCGTGTAAGATGAGACGGGCAAACAGCTTTGAGCGCGGTCAACACGTTGATGAATTTTACGAATCAAAGTGTTTGCATCATTGCGAATTGTTTTGGTGGCATCATCAAAAGCCTGTCGTCCATAAAAAATAACGAAATAAATCAAAAACTTAATCACAATCGAAAATCGAAATGATTCTTCTTTTCACACAAAAAAAAAAAAAACATTTAATACATACGAATGAGTCACATTTTAGAATAAAAATCGAATCAAATGATTTGAGCCACCAATAGCTTTTTGTATATAACTTACACGCACTGAGTCCGAATTCAAATAGCTATCGGTGTATAAATGACCAGGACGGGATCGGATCTTGTTTTCAATACGTTTGTACTCCTTTTCGAAGATACTGGGTCTCGTACGGATACTGTACGTGGTACGAGTTGGTGATGTTGAGATACGTGTTGTGTAAGAGCGAACTGGGTATGATTCGAGAAAATTCGTTTTTGATATTAACGGCAAACTATTATTTTTCTATGCTACACTTAAATAAATTCATTCGACCATCACATTCAATCCATTTGTGGAATGAAAACTGATGCTTTTCGATCCATATTTAAAGTCTTTAATTTGCAGAAAAATGCGAATTTATTTGGCTTTCAAAATAATTGCTCGCTATCAATAATACGGAAAATTGTGTATGTGAAAGAGTGAGAGTGTGTGTGTGTGTGTGTGTGTGTACAAACCGTAATTGGCTGGTGATGTCAAAACAGCGATTGGTGTTATTGGGAAACGAGCTGGAGTTGAATAACGAACAGGAGTCGAGTAACGCATTGGTGTTACGGCTCTGAACGTTGGGACTGAAACAATACGCGTTATTGTTCTGGCTGGTGTTACAGATGAACGTGATACAGATGATCGTGTTCCGGTTACAAGACGTTTGTGTGCAACATAAGGAATTGTTCGGTGACGTACAACGGGATAGGTTGAATATATTGGATAGGTTGTGAAACTGTGTACCTGTATATATGTTGTTTTTTTTTTGATGAAAACACAAATGGATCAAAGAGAGAGATAGAGAGAGTCAGAGACACAGACAGAGGCAAAGATGATGTAAGAATACAATGATTGACAACACATGGATATGATACATTAAATGGGTGAAAACATCGCATTTTCGACTGCTATGATGAACATGACGAAAAAAAGCTCCGTTAAGGAGATAAATACTCGGTTTTCTTGAATTAAACATACCTTTTTGACGATAGAAGGAACACTGATGACGCGTGACTGTAATGGAAACAACAAAATCGTTCGATCAAAATTTTTGGCCAAATTAACAATTTTTTTTTTTTACAAAACACATTTATTACACTTGCAAAAGACAAGACCGACCCAGTTTCGGTTTCGACCAAAACACAGTCAGTCTTTTATGAGTGTAATTTGTCGCATTTCAATTGATTTTTTTAGAGAAAGATATGTACATTTTCGAACAGATGCAACAAATAATATCAAGTTATAAAAATTATAACGACTCAAACATTTTGAATGGCATTAATAAATGGTCAAAAAGCATTATAACGAAATTAAAAAAAAAAACACGTAGGTAAGTACTTTTCAAAGTGAAATGTCAATGTTCATCTGAAAAGTTCGTGATTTGCAGTAAAGCTGGAATTGATTTCGCTGCGTGTAGGAAACCATTGAAAAAAATGGAAACTCGGTGGTTCGAAAAAGAGATTTTGGTGGGTAGGACGGATTTGTGTGGTGTGTGTGTGTGTCAAAAAATGCGATTTGTGTGTGTGTGCGTGTGTATGCAAAAGAAGAGAAACAACAAAAGAAACACAAAGAAAACACAACAATATTTTTTCTTGATGTAAATTGATTTGAGCATTCGAAATAATTTCCTTTTTATTGAATAAAATGTATATAGCAAATAGTACAAATTTAGCCAAACAAAATTTCTTTTCTTCGCCTTATGTACAGACATTGTTTTCTTTTTTTTTTAAAAATGCAATTTTGTTCCAGCCTAAAATTTCTTTTTATTACATCAAACTCTAACAACGAATGATTACTGGCACATGTTTACGGTTCCTAAATTAAGCAATTTTCAAAGCATTTCATTTGCGTCTGCTAAAACTGATATAAAACTCTAGAGTGAAAAAAAGCCGAAATAGAATTGGTGTGACATTTTCATAGATTTTTTTTTGTTTTTTTTTTTTTAGTATTTTGGATCATTTTGTGTAGAAGTGGTCTACGACAATTTCGATCGGTGCCACATCTAATTGGCTATGAATTTAGACGCGGTATGAATAATGACGATAAGTAGTGCCATGAGGCAAACGTCCTGAGGTGGTTGAAGAGTAACTGTAGTCACCAGGACGCGAGCCAGTTGATGATGTACGGTCAGTTGAATAGTTGTAACCGCCTGGGCCTGAAGCACTTTTGCGCTCAGTGGTTGATGAATAGGTTGATCTTTCTGGACGACCGTATGGATTATTTGAATCGCGCACGGATGACGATGACGAAGAGTATGAATAAGAATATTGTTGTTCAGCTGTACGTGGACGGGTCGCGTCTGATACGCTATAGTAACGTGGAGTCTGTAAACAATTATACATATATTTTACAATGCAATTTAAGAGTGTTTGCTTATAACCGGGCAAGTGTACTGGCTACTGATCACCATGATTTTAATCTAAGATTGTTTTTGTTTTGTTTTTTTTTCTAGTTTTTCATCATTTCGATAAATATAGAATCGAACACAAAAAATAAATTGAATGTTGTGCTGTTTTTTTGAATCAATTTTGCATTTCGTTTGCATTCACAATCATATCTTTGAATGTATGCTTGTATGAGATTGATGGAAATTTGATTTCTAATTTCTACAGAAGCGATTATTTCGTATTTGAAGAAGAAGAATGATTTGGAACAGCAAAATGGAAAGATCGGGGATAATCATCGAATTGAAAATGAGTGGCGAAGTCATAATTCATTCGAGAATTATGTTTTCATACAACAAACGCAATGAAACACATCGTCAGGATCAATTCACACTGTGCTTGTTTCTCTGTGTGTGTTTATGTGTCTACTTTATATAATTTTTTGCAACGTGAAGGAAATTCAACTTCGATAAATTATAATCATGGTACTTTGTTTTGGTTTTTTAAGTTAAGCGAAATTCTACAAATCATCAGAAAATGCATTGTTAAATTGAATTATTATTAATTGCTCGTGTGTAAGATATATTATATCTGTGGGGAAGATAAGTATGAAAACAAATTATGTAGCGATTTGTTGTCAGAAAAAAAATAAATGTGTAAATGTCTTATGGGAAGTTGAATGATTCAAATTAGTAGAGGTGAGAAATGGAAAAGACCAGAAAATTTAGGAGAAATCTACCTATTGCACTTCAACAACACTATCTACATTGATTACCTGTGCAAAGCTACAATTAATCGACCTGTTTTCTCTTTAGTTTTTCACAATTTGCTGCAGTTTATATTGCTGGAAAATCGATTTTAAGATATGGCAATTTCGCCGAAATTTCGCGAGAAACGATTTAAAAAAAAAACTCTTTCGTCTATGACATAAACAAATCATCTCATGTTTAATTTCGCAGTAGAATTTCGATCAAAATTCCCCGTTTATAATGGGCTTGTTTTTTTTAGAATCAAAAGATCAAAGACAGGCAATAATTAATATGGATATGGGGGTTGGAAAATCAACAACAAAAACGTTTTTTTATGTCTTGTTTAGTTTCACATTTGTAATTCGATTTTTTTATATGTCTGAATGTACATGTTGGTACTTCGTATAAAGTTATGCTAAAAAAGTGTGTGTTTGTGTTTGGTGTTTATGTGATCGTGGATATTAATATTTTGTGGGTTGAGGTGTTTATTTGTGGTTGTATTTGGATGGCTCGTAAAAGAAAACTTGTCGGTGGGGATCTTTGACGGCAGCAGTATTGTGCAAACGTGGTAACACTTTGTCCATGGAAAATTTATCGGTTATTAAGGCAGCACTGCCCCCACCTTCACGGATATCTGCATTGCGCCGTACTTCACCAAGTACACGATTCCGAGTTGCATCACGTGCCGAAATATATGGATGAATTGGACGATCGAGGATTTCTTGATTTGGTTTGATTCCTTCGCGATTAATTCGATCCAAAATCGACACTTTTTCTTCGCATCGTGGTTTTCGCTTTCCGAATGCGGTTATCGGATCGGCAATAAGGCTTGGCCGTGGAACAAATGGCACTTTTTCCCAATCTACTTCACGTCTCTGTAATTAGATGCAAACAGGGAAGAGAGAGAGAGAGAGAGAGAGAGAATGGTCCGGAATCGATCATCGGTCAATTTTTTTTGTTCATTTTGAGAATGATTTTGATATTTTTGATTTTTTTTTGTGTGAGGCAAACTGGTGTGCATCTGTCTCTATATTGCCAAGCTTCAAGCCGTGAAAGCTGCCATACTCGGTTATTTTGTTTGTTTGTTGTTGTTTTTATTATTGGAATAATGTATGTATAGGGTTGTGTGTGACAACGATCATTACAGTTGTTGAAACGGCTCAAATTCCAAACCAATTACGATCTACTATTCATAAACGACATTTTTTGTTTTTGTGTGTTTTTTTTTGTGTCGTCTATGACTGATTGCATTGGCATCGTGTACTTCATTTATTATTTCGATGAAAAGAAAAACACTTTGACAAAACATTTCTCTTTTTTTTTTCGTTTTGTGTGTGCCATGTTGAAAAATAAAACTCATCTATAAATGCTGTCATGTATTTTTGAAATTTGCTACACTAGGAATTAGCTAAATTTGTAACCTCCTTCACATAAAAGAAACAGTTTTCAATTCGAACCGCGAAAATCACACGAAATGGCCCAACTCTCAATCATTTTTCACAGACAAACTTATACATAATTATTTCGCTTTTTAGCACAGCATTTTTATGTGTTAAATTATATAGAAATGTTTGGTGTTTTGTTTGTGTGAATAAGCTTCAATCAAAAAAAAAAAAAATCTCGATTTTATTGTGTATGTGTGTATAATTTCTGTTTTGGTGTGTAAATGTTGCAAATGAAGCAAAAAAATAATTTTCGGTTTCTTAGTGTCAATTTTGTGTTTTGCAAGTTAGTCTTCGAACGATCTATAGTTAGTTAAATGTTGTACGAATTATGATGTCGCAGTAAAAAAAGAGGATTTTCATGTCGGCAGCATTTGTTGTTTAATTTCAAAAATGACCTCTAATATTCAGAAAATGAAATCATTGCCAATTGAAACTAAAAGAGAGATAGAGAGAGAGAGAGAGAAAAGCAAACGACATCCCGAGATTCGTTCCATTTTATTTTCTATTTTGAATGCTTTCCAAATACAAGCTTTAATGAGCAATAAATTGTGACGATGATTCTGTGATAGCAAATATGTGTGGATTCATAGAAAAAGTTTCGCCTCTCAGCTATTTTTAGGCTATACATATATATTATGGCAAAACTGAAACTTGAACGACATCAGATCAGAAAATGAGAATTTCCACATTGAAAATAAGAAGAGGCGTTAGTTGCTGCTATTATTAAACCTGGCATTTTCATAAGCAAAATGTGCACACACACACACACACACACAAAAATAATACACACTGAAACCGACCATTAAAAATTTAGAAGAATAAGAGCTGCAAAAAATGCCATGATTCATCCGAGAATGAATCGAAAGAGAGAGAGGGAGAGAGAAAGAGATGAAGAGAGAAAAGTGGATTTCTCGTCGTAAATATAAATAGTATGTATTCCACACACGATTTATTGAAAATACCACATAATATTGGTCGTCCGAATTGGGTCTCGGGAATATTTGATATATTCGGATTTGTGTTTGAGTGTATGTTCTGTAATAAGTTATGATATGTTATGTACGTCATAATCTAATGCTATTCAAAAGAACTTTTAAATCAAAAACAAACGCTCCGCCCAAGCATAGATTTTTCAAAATATACATATTTCTATCGCCAAATGACTAACTAAAAGGTAAAGCGAGAAAACTTGATAAAATTGAGAATGAAAACATTTTCAACTATCGAACCAGTAATCAGACGAATTCCAATAAACGAATTAGTTGATCTAAAGTGTCTTTAATTAATTGTTTAAAATTACTTTAGCATGACTGTTAAGAATCTGTCGACTTGAATCTAACAATAACAAATAATACCAATTCCATTGTTAAGTTCCATTAAGTTGGTTTTAAACAATAAAAAAGCAAACTAATATATAATTAGTGACATTGAGTCTAAGGATGAAAGATAAAAGAAAAACCAACACACACACACGCCATCGATTTAGTAGTCCGTTAGCATTGTATGACATTCCGATTCATAATTTACGAAAATGCACAAAATAATGAATAAATATAAAAGGGTAGAGTTCTTTGTAAGATTCTTACCGTCACCGAGTATGACGACACATTTGGCCGGGATGAATACGGTCTGCGTGTTGTATAGAAATCACTTTCGTAAACCATTTTGTTTATGTTCTTTTTTAGATAATTTGATTAATTGGATTTATTCACAATAAACTTCCTTCGTATCGCACACAAACACTTCTACAATTTTTAAAGAAAATATGAGAGAAAAAGAAAAAAAAGTGGAAGAAAAACGTAAGAATAATATAAAAATAAGGATTTTTTTGTTTCAAAAACTAAATTCGAAGTTTGCAAACAAAAAAAAAAGTTAAATTTGACTACGGTTCATTGAATGAACTTTTGAATTAAATTTCACACATAAAATCGAAATTGAATTAAAAAAAATGGATTTTCTTTTATAAAAACACACAAAAGAGAACGCACAAATAAGCTCCGCACTCGACGCCTGGTGGAATTGCTCTGACCGAAACTGATTTAATAACTCTCATCAAACTCGATTTCAACAGCATCAGCATCACCACCACCAACAACAACTAGAGAAACAAAACACACGCGAAAAAAAAAACATTTTGAATATATTTTTGGAACTGAACTAGGCGATGAGAAGCACAAAAAAAACATTCGTTCATGTATTTTAAGGTCATGCTCATCGGTGGCTCTCAGTGTGTGATTTTTCGTTTACAAACGATCTTCTAGGTAATCAATTTATTTTTCTCATTCGGAAAAACGAGAAAATCGAGTGAAATTCCTTCATGATTTGTCTACAAGACAAATGCAGTTCGTATCGAATTCGGCGTGGCGCATGACGTACATATGTTTATAGGCGTCACTCATTCGATCCATTAGTGTAGAGAGAGAGAGAGAGGAGAAAAATCGACAACAACGACAAAAACAACAACAACCACGACGATCGCATCCCATTCAGAATTATTGTTTTTCTTGGAAATTATTTAAAATTCGAAGTGATTCGGCAATGAATTCGCAAAAGTGAAAATGTTGTAATAAACGTAGGCATTCGAATTTTGTCATTCGAACGCTAAATGTGCCTATAGACTATATAGTCTCAATAACGAAAGTGCGATGAGTGCGATGCGACACAAAGAGCATAAAGTTCAGTCTACTGACAATACCATCTCACACAATCATTTGATATAAATAATAAGATGACTAAGCACTCTGATCATCCACATTATTTGTTTACAAGTCAATTCGTTTTTTTTTTCAAAAATATTCACACATTGAACTGCCACGCGAATAGCTCACACCTTTGTCGTCACAACTTTCGTCAAGGAGATGATGATTCCATTTTATGGGAGAAAAGAGCGAAAGAATCAATGGCAAATTTCAAATTGCCTTGATATTTGTTTATGAAAATGGCATATAAAATCGGTTTATTTTGGTTCAACTGGAAAAAGATGGCCGTTTATTTTGATAATTTAAATATTAAAATGAAACTGAAATAATCGTACAAGCTAAGGAAAACACAAAATTTCTTTTAATACCGAACAAATAATGTGTGGGATTTAAAAAGTAACAAAAATGAAAACGTCGTAGAAAAAATCATGAAAACAAAATATATAGAATGGAATTGTTATGATAAATCAAATCGATGCGGTTTAGCTAAGTCGATATAACATTTTGCGTTGCATTCGATGTTGTACTTCGCCACGTCTGATCATCATGAAGATCACCTTTTGCACTGCACGCTCCGAATACTTTTGACGAACAAAATCCTATCGAATGACGAAAAAGAAAATATTGATAAATTTCAAAATGCATGAAAAGTAATAAAAAAAATATTTCCTTACATCGATGATATTCTTCTCTGAAACTTGTGAACCGATAGCAAATCGACGTTTCAGTTGTTTTTCAATGCGATTGAGTATTTCATGATCTTCTTCGGTTGTGAATCCCTCAGCACCAGCCAAACTACCTGTTGATGCCGCATCCAATGTGGACACTTGGAACAATCGCAACGCCTCATTAACATGCGAATCAGTGGCAAATGGTTGCAATTGCATTTTGGCCAATGATTCAGAGATACGAATAATTGCCTCCAATTGACGCACCGTTATTGGAATGGCCAAACGTTTGTCGGTTGCTTTTTCATGTTCATGTGTACCGGTGCGCATTAAAACATAACGACTTTTCAATTTTTCACCAGCTTCAGCGCTCAAACGTGGCCCACAAGTGGTACGACAAAAATGAATGAATTTCTTGAATGTCGTCAAATCGATTTCGCCCTCTTGAACTTCATTTGTTACTTTGTTTGCATTTAGATGAACATTGATGATGTGACGGGCCAAATTCTGTTTGAAAATAAAAATTAAAGTTTTTCGTTTGCCGTTTGATAAAATATCAATTAAAATTACCGTATCTCGTTTTTCATCATGAACATCCTTGACGATAAAGATCATATCGAAACGTGACAAAATCGTTGGCATAAAGTCAATATTCTCTTCACCTTTTGTATCGTCCCAACGGCCGAAAATTGAATTGGCCGCAGCCAACACCGAACAACGTGTATTCAATGTCGTTGTAATACCAGCTTTAGCAATTGAAATGGTTTGTTGTTCCATGGCCTCGTGGATGGCCACACGATCATCTTCTTTCATTTTATCAAACTCATCAATACAGACAACACCACCATCAGCCAAAACCATGGCACCACCTTCCATTACAAAGTTACGCTGTATTCAAGGTAAATCAAATTTATTTTAATATTCGAAAAAAAAAGATGTAGAAAAAAATTTAGTTTTACGTACAGTGGCCGGATCTCGCATAACAGATGCTGTTAAACCAGCTGCGCTTGAACCTTTTCCAGAGGTGTAAACGGCAATTGGTGCCACTTTTTCGACGAATTTCAACAGCTGTGACTTGGCGGTACCAGGATCACCCAATAGCAAAACGTTGATATCACCACGCCGTGTCAAACCATCGGGCATTCGTTTGCGTGAACCACCGAATAACAAAGATACAATTGCCTTTTTAATGTCAAACGAACCGAAAATGCTGGGCGCAAGACTCTTTGCCAATCGTTCGTAGATATCAGGATGGGCAGCAAGACGACGGAATCTCTCCTCTTCTTCGGTTGTTATATTTGTATAACGTGAAATAGCACCAGTACCTTCTGAATCAACGGTTATACCAACCACACGCATGTATGGCGCTCGAACACCAACAATTGCCTTTTCACGGCTATCACCTCTACCGGGTTTGCCAACTTTACGAATCGAATAAATACCGTGAATTAAAACTCGGTTTCCGGGTACAACTCGTTCGCAGAGGCTGCGATCCAAAAACAATTGCATGTGACGCGGTATTTCACCCTGAATGTATATGAAACAAAAAACCCATTATTGAAAGAGCGCCGATCGTTTTCAATGTCGTAAATCGTTGTTGTTTTTTTAAAGAAGAATTTTACAATTGCGACAGTTAAATTGGTCAATATTGGAATATATCCAAATGAACCAAATGTCTCGTAACCAATTTTCAACAAAATTATCACATTTCATAATATAAACAAACATACACACAATGGATAAACAATGCTGGGCTGATGACATTTTACGTTATGTAAACAATGCACACACAATTTAGTCCGTCAGAATTGATTCTTGTGTTAAACAATCAAATTGCGTGTGAGTGTATTACACACATACCTGTGGAATGAAATCGGGAAGTTCTTGCAGTTTTAACACTTGAAAATCAACACATTTACATTTGTCGGGCATGATGAAGAATGGATCCAACGAGCATGGCGGACGACCGGCTTGTTCACTAAAAAATTTCCAAAGAAATTCACAATTTAACTTCAATTTTCACCTCAAACAAAAGTAAGAACAATATTGATCATACGTTGTGCATTTTCTGGGCAAAGAATATCCTTCCAAACCTGGATTCACTTTCAAATTTGGTATGACTTCGTTACATGAACGGCACTGAATTGACATTGTGGTTGCTTTGGCTTTGATACCTGATGCGGCAATGATAATACCAGCCACTTTTACCAACCGCGAAACACTTTCCGACTGAAATAAAAAAAAATATTCACTTTTATGTAGATTGGTAAGACCAAAGTAATTTTTGAGCTCACCTTCAAGTCCCGAATATTGGTTGGATTGCCGTTTGATTGTAGTAAAATTTGAATGTCTTGCACGTCTTCTTCACCTTCTGGCCGTGGCGATGTGATTTCATCGGCCACTTCACGGGCAGCCTCCTCGAAAATTTGCAAATTTTCCGTCGGTTGTTTGTACATTTTATCCGATAACATCTCATCAAAACCGGCCAAATCTTCCATTTCAACTTCCAAATAGTAACGGCCCAACAAATAGTTTCGCTTCAATGCATCACTAAAGAACATAACATTCGTTTGGTTGAATTTTCGTGTGTATTTAAATATAAAATGAAAAAAATTCGCTCACCGATATTTGTAGTGGAAATTGTCTTCGTTAAAAGTTCGAATGAAATCCTTGAACTTCTTTTTAACCGCTTGTGCATTGATTTGAGTTCCATTTTGCTCGTTATCTGGATTAAAATTGTCCGAAAAAAAGACGGCAGCATCGTCAAAACCTTCCATTTTTGTTTATTTTTTTTTTTTGTAATTGGTTCAAACACTTTTATTTCGTCAAATTTCTCTTTAAATTCAGTTTTCTTTAAACACAAGATGATGACAAATTTAGTAGAATAATTCAGTCAAATAATAAGATTGTACATCAACAATGTTAAATCGAAACCAAATAAGTTTGCTCCACAACAATATTAAATCACATTATACACGCTAAAGTTTTGGCGCGAATATGAAGCGCTCTGTCAGATGTTTTAGTTATATCGGGTAATACTTAATGTTAAAGCAATACTTCACATAATTGAATTTAACTTGAAATGAAATCCATATGTTTCAATTTAAAATGTTTAAAATTTATTCTTTCACAAATTTGGTTTTTTTTTCAATTAAATTTTCTTAAAAAGTAAATTCATTCATTTTCCGAATAATCCTGATTATGCATTGTACTTCATACATGCTTACATTGTATTCAAGTGAATACTCAAAGCAACACGAGACATATGTATTTAAGAAGTTTGGCGGGAATCTCTAATGTCAAATCCATTGTAAAAACAGTCAGTTTGTTCAGTTTGTTAATGTTATTGTTTCGTGATGAAATTAGCTTTGCAATTTTGGTAGATAAATCATTTAGTGGATGGATTTAAAGATAAATAATTTATAATACGAATACAGTTAGTTAATGCGGATTTCACGATGAGTGTGAATACCGGCAGATATGTTGCGGAAGATCGAATTGAAGGGTGAGTTCCCAATAAAAGTCGCACCAAAAACCGTGTGTAATTATTGTTTATATTTGTGTTTTTAAGGGAGAACAATTCAATTGGCATTCGAGAGTCACGCGAAAATGATAAAATCGATTCAAAATATGGATTTGATCGTGTCAAAGACACACAGGAGCGTACCGGTTATCTGATAAACATGCATTCCACCGAAATTCTTGACGAAGACCGACGTTTGGTGGCCGCCTTGGATTTATTTTTCATCCAAATGGACGGAAGCCGTTTCAAAGCATCAGTTGTATACGAACCATATTTTCTTGTTCTTCCAAATCCCGAACAATCGCTTGAGGTTGCACGTTATTTGCAAAAGAAATACACCGGCCAATTGACACGCATCGAACACATAAAAAAAGAAGATCTTGATATGGCAAATCATTTGATTGGCAAACAACAGCAATTTTTAAAATTATTATTTCCAAATGTGAATGCACTGAATAAAGTGCGCCGTGATATTATGTCCGCGGTAAAAAAGAATCGTGAACGTGAAAAAACCAATACGAATTACATTAAATTATTATCAACATCATTGGCGCACAGTTCAAATACGGTGACAACAAAAAGTGCCGATTACTTTGATTATATTGCCGATATTCGTGAATATGATGTACCATATCATGTTCGGGTGTCGATCGATTTGAAATTAAATTGTGGTTTATGGTATGATATTCGATGTCGACCGGGTGGCTTAGAAATGCCATTGATAACACCAAGACCCGATATTTTAGATCGACCGGAAGCAATTGTACTTGCTTATGATATTGAAACAACAAAATTACCATTGAAATTTCCGGACGCACAAAGCGATCAAATTATGATGATTTCGTATATGATCGATGGTCAAGGTTATCTGATCACAAACAGAGAAATCATCTCATGCGATGTCAATGATTTTGAATACACGCCAAAACCAGAGTTTGAAGGAAATTTCATCGTGTTTAATGAACCGGACGAAATGAGTGTCATTCAAAAGTTTTTCGATCATATTTTAGAGGTGAAACCACATATTATTGTATCGTACAACGGTGATTTTTTCGATTGGCCATTTGTTGAGACGCGAGCCGCCACATATGACATGGATATGAAACGTGAAATTGGTTTCTGGAAAAATCGCGACGGAAACTATTTGTCACGGCCAGTCATGCATATGGATTGTTTGTGTTGGGTGAAACGTGATTCGTATTTGCCGGTCGGAAGTCAAGGTGGGACGACTTTTATTCATTTTTGTATCCTTTTTTTCTCATACGATATCTCTCTAATTGAAATTAGGTTTGAAAGCGGTTGCTAAAGCAAAGCTACGCTATGATCCAGTTGAACTTGATCCCGAAGAAATGTGTAAAATGGCTGTTGAACAGCCGCAAGTACTATCCAATTACTCTGTATCCGATGCCGTTGCCACATATTATCTCTACATGAAATATGTGAATCCATTCATATTTGCTTTGACAACAATCATTCCGATGGAACCGGACGAAGTGCTTCGCAAAGGTTCGGGAACATTGTGTGAAACTCTGTTGATGGTGCAAGCATTTCATGCAAACATTGTCTTCCCAAACAAACAACAATCTGAATTGAATAAATTGTCCGACGATGGACACGTTCTTGATTCTGAAACGTATGTAGGCGGTCATGTCGAAGCACTTGAATCGGGTGTATTTCGTGCTGATATTCCATGTCGATTTCGGCTCGATCAAGAAATGGTGATGAAACTACAAAACAATGTCGACAATGTGCTAAAGCATGCCATCGAAGCCGAAGAAAATGTCCCATTGGATTTGGTCACGAATTTGGAGCAAGTGAAGAATGAAATTTTGGCCGGACTGAAAGAATTGTACGATGTACCAAATCGTGTCGAACAACCGGTCATTTTTCATTTGGACGTTGGTGCTATGTATCCAAATATCATTCTAACAAATCGATTGCAACCATCGTCAATGGTTTGCGAAACGGACTGTGCTGCATGCGATTTTAATAAGCCAGGTTTGAGCTAGAGAATCAATTCAAAATATCGAAAATAATGATTTATCTATTGGTTTTAGACGCCGAATGCAAACGTGTTATGGACTGGATGTGGCGTGGTGAAATGTTACCAGCTTCGAAAAATGAATATCAACGAATCCAGCAACAGCTTGAAACGGAAAAATTTCCACCACTCTTCCCGGGTGGTCCAAATCGTGCATTTCACGAACTATCGAAAGAAGATCAGGCCGCCTACGAAAAGAAGCGGTTGAATGATTATTGCCGGTAAGTCTACAAAAGAAAAATTCAATCAATTGACACTTAAATTCCACTCACAATTCAGGAAAGCGTATAAGAAAACAAAAATCACACGTCTTGAGAATCGAAAATCGACAGTGTGCCAAAAGGAGAACAGTTTTTACGTTGATACCGTTCGCGCCTTTCGTGATCGTCGTTATGAATATAAAGGCATGACAAAAGTGGCAAAGGCTGCCGTTGCAAAAGCGGTGGCTGGCGGTGATGCAAGTGAAATAAAAGCCGCTCAAGGTCGTGAAGTTTTGTACGATTCACTTCAATTGGCCCACAAATGTATTTTGAACTCATTTTATGGTTATGTTATGCGACGTGGTGCACGATGGCACAGCATGTCAATGGCTGGTATTGTTTGTTTGACCGGTGCCAATATAATTCGTCGTGCACGTGAGATTGTCGAACGTGTTGGCCGTCCATTGGAACTGGACACAGATGGAATTTGGTGTATTATGCCAGCCACATTTCCACAAGAGTTCACCATTCATACGACACATGAAAAGAAGAAAAAATTCAACATTTCATATCCAAATGCTGTGCTGAATACTATGGTCAAAGATTTCTTTACAAATGATCAATACCATGAACTCCTTCCCAAATCACCTGACGACGATCCAAATGATGTGCCACAGTATAAAAAACGTGCCGAAAATTCAATTTTCTTTGAAGTGGACGGTCCATATTTGGCAATGGTTTTACCGGCTGCCAAAGAAGAAGGAAAGAAACTTAAAAAACGGTACGCTGTTTTCAATTTTGACGGATCACTGGCTGAACTAAAGGGTTTCGAAGTGAAACGACGCGGTGAATTGCAATTGATTAAGATTTTCCAGTCATCAGGTAACTTTTCGATCACATTTCCACTTTACCAACGATGAATATATATCACATTTTTATTTCCGAAATGCCAGTATTCGAAGCATTCTTACATGGAAGTACATTGGATGAGTGTTATGCAAGTGTTGCCAAAGTGGCCGACTATTGGTTGGACGTGTTGTACAGCAAAGGTTCAAATATGCCGGATTCTGAATTGTTTGAATTGATTTCCGAAAATCGTTCAATGTCCCGTAAATTAGAAGATTATGGTGCACAAAAATCGACATCCATTTCGACGGCAAAACGTTTGGCCGAATTTCTCGGTGATCAAATGGTTAAAGATGCTGGATTGGCATGTAAATACATCATATCAAAGAAACCAGAAGGTTCACCAGTTACAGAAAGAGCCATCCCATTGGCCATTTTCCAGTCGGACCCAAGTGTGCGTCGTCATTACTTGCGTCGATGGTTAAAAGGTAGATAAATTTTGAATTTCACAACATTTAGCAGTAAAGTAAAACCGTATTCTTTTTTAGATAACACAATGGGCGATGCTGATATTCGTGATGTTCTCGATTGGAATTACTACATCGAACGTTTGGGTGGTACCATTCAAAAGATTATCACAATTCCGGCTGCGTTACAAGGTGTTAGTAATCCAGTGCCTCGAATTCAACATCCTGACTGGTTGCACAAGCGAATGCTGGAAAAGAATGATGTTTTAAAACAACGTCGCATCAATGAAATATTTAGCGTTAAACCAAAGCCCATCGCTGAGCCGACGGATGATAGTGACAATGAAAATGACGACGACAGTAATGCTGGTGAATCGAATGATGAAATGGAAATCCGTGACATGGAAGATATTGGATCGAATGTTGTGTCTGGTGCACGTCGACCGGCTGTTCATCGTCGTAAACGAAATGCCAGCGAAATGGAAACCGATGACACTGCAAATGAAGCAAAAACATGGCGCGAAGCACTCGGACCACCGCCCGAAGTCGGAAATTCACGTGAACAGATTCAAGACTGGGTTGAATATCACAAGAAAAAATGGCAATGGCAAATCCAACAACGAAATCGACAACGCACCCATCAAACTAGCAAAAAATCGCGCACGGACAATGCGATAATGCATCGTCCGACGTCAGTTGGAGCGACAGCCCGAGCATCCATTGGAGGTTTTATTCGTCGAACCCAGCGCAGCATCATCGAACAACCATGGCAAATCATTCAAATTCTATCGGTTGATGAACTTGGTTCGTACACAGTTTGGGCAATGGTTGGCACAGAATTGCATAAAATCAAATTGAATATTCCGCGCATATTTTACGTAAATAAACGAACACCAGCACCAAACGAAGAGGGTTGCATGTGGAAACAAGTGCATCGAACATTGCCACGATCACGGCCGGTATTTCATTTGTATCAATACATTGTATCGGAAAATATTTTCAAAGAGAATCGTTTGGGAATGTTAGCCGATTTAGCAACACCCGACATTGAAGGCATTTATGAAACACAAATGCAACTCGAATTCCGTGCTTTAATTCAATTGGGATGCATTTGTTCGGTTCAACGGACTGTTGCACGTGAAATTGCCGCCAAAAAATCAACAAATGCACCCGATAATTTTTCAATCGAACAACTCGAAACACGACCAATGTCACAACAACCGTATTTAAATGGCGGCGGAAATTTGAAACGTTTATTCCTATACCAGCACAGTTCGGGAAATGGTAAACGTGAATTGTGGGGTCTGTTCATTCCAATCATCAAAAAATCGATTATCATTTGCTTGGATACGGTGCGTACAAATCAAATGCCAACGATGAAAAACTTTTATCTCGCCGAACGATTGACCTATTTTAAAGATGCAACAGCTGATAAAGCACCACCGGACGATATGCAATTTGAAGTATTCTTTGAAGTTGATTCAAAATTGGTGTATCGTCACATAAGCCATTTGTTGACCGCTTTTAGTAGCGAAAAGAAAGGTCCGGCTTTGCTTTGCGTTCAGGCCGGCATCACGTTGAACAAATTGAATTTGGCAATTCCGGCGGCAAGTGAATTTCCACAAACGCAAATTTTCATCGTTGACGATGCATCGCTGTTGACCGGCTTGGATTGGCAACGTAACGGTACCAAATCGATGCTTCGACATTTTTTCAATTTGAACAATGTGGTTGATTTGATGTTGGAACAATGTCGTTACTATCGATTACCCATTGGTAATATGCCCGCCGATCCAATTATGTTTGGTGCTGATATTTTCTATGCAAGACTCTTGCAAAAACATAATTTTGTACTGTGGGCATCGCCGACCAGTCGACCAGACTTGGGCGGTCGTGAAGCGGATGACAATCGTTTGTTGGGCGAATTCGAAGAGAATATTACCGTTGTTCAGAATAATTGTGGTTTTTATGAAAATGTATGTGTGGAATTGGCCATTGACAGTTTGGCCGTGACAGCATTGTTGCAAGCGAGTAAAATTCAAGAAATTGAAGGTGCCAGCTCAGCCATTACATTCGATGTAATGCCACAGGCATCGCTTGAAGATATGATCTCGAATAATCCGGCCGCATCGTCACTGTCAAATTATGATGAGTCCGCACTGTGCAGTGCTGCATTGAAGGTCATGAGATCAATGGTTAACAGTTGGTTGCGTGAAGTGGCCATTGATCGTAATGTATTTGCCGATTTTCAAATTGTCCATTTCTATCGATGGATACGATCGAGCACATCACTTTTATACGATCCAGCTTTGCGACGCAATCTTAACAATTTAATGCAGAAAATTTTCTTACAAATCATCAGCGAATTTCAACGTTTAAACGCAAAAATCATTTATGCCGATTTCAATCGAATCATTTTGAATTCGGGCAAAAAATCCATCGTTGATGCAATCAGCTATGTTGAGTACGTCGTACAGAGTATTCGGAATAAAGAACTGTTCCACAGTATTAACTTGACATACCAACAGGTTTGTGGATTTTTTTTTTTTTAATTACCAAAAATAATTTGAAAATAATTATCAATATTTCATTGCAGTCATGGGAGTTCCTACTCTGGATGGATACAGCCAACTATTCGGGTCCATTAGCTAAAATTCCACGTGAATTACAAGCATCCGAACTAACACAAAATAGTGAGATCATTAATCAAACAAATGATGATGATGAGGTGAAAATCGAAATGAATTGGAATATTGCCGAACAATTGCCCGAAGAAGGAAATTGTCGTGCCGAATTTGAAGCGGTATTGAAATTATTTATGGATGCATTGGTCAATACGAATTCGGTTAAAGAAGCAATTGAAGCCATCACAATGTATGCCTATGAAATTGTTCAACGATTACACAAAGGATATGGACCGGGACGAGTTAGCCCCGCCACACAATTTTGTAATGCACTCATCGAAGTGCTGAATAATATGAAAGATGTTGATGATGAAGTGAGTTATATAACTCTTCGACATTTTCAATATTTTGAAGTATAAAATTTTTTTTTTATTCGATCTAGATTCAAACTCTTCGGCGAAACATGTTGCGTTTAATTGGTTTGGGTGAATTCAGTGACTTGGCCAAATGGCAAGACAAAGTTCACACGTATGTTCTAAATGAAGTCATTTGCAAAGCATGCAATCAATGCCGTGACATTGATTTGTGCAAAGACAAAGATCGAGCCACCGTCAATGACATGTAAGTATAATATAAAATTTGAAATTGAAACGTGTGACATAACACCGTATATTTTCAGACCGGTATGGCTTTGTTCCCAGTGCTATGTTTACTATGAAAATGAGGAAATCGAAATTCGACTTTTGGATGTAATCCATCGCAAAATCATGTCATACACACTGCAAGATCTGCGATGCACCCGATGCAAGGAAATAAAACGTGATAATATGGCTGCGTTGTGTAGCTGTGCCGGTTCATTTGACACATTGATACCAGCGAAAAAACTACGACAACTGCTTGAAACATTCTTAGAAGTGGCCGATGCTCATCAAATGCATTTGCTCAAAGAAGAAGTTCAAGTTTTTCTCACGCACTCCATTTAACCGACTATGATTTCATGTAACTTTTTTTTTAATTTTTGTCGTTTTTTTTCATCTAAATTAAGTAAATTAATAAAATAAATCGAATATTTAACTTTGATCTATAAGTTTGACTTTTTATTATTCATCCAATTTTAAATGTTCAAAGCGTCCCACATAACACAATTTCACAGAAATGGGGATGTATGATTTTAGAAGAAGAAATGTTTATTGTATGCTTTTTTTCTCTACTTTAATTTAAGCTTTTGACTCAATGAAGATCGGGTCTAATTTAGGTTCTTGGAATTTGAAATCGGGGAATTTGGTCATGTCAACACCCTTGCCGCCACCATATTGCTGCAAAAAAACAAAACAAAACATTAAAATCTTGCATTCGATCAATAAAAATGTGACTTATTTTGTAGAATTCTACATACTTTGCTAACACGATCCAATTCTGATTGAAGTTCGGCTTTAATTTCTGGTGTTGGATCAACGAATTCATCGTTCCTGTAAAAGAAGCGAATGTTTGTATTTTTCTTATTGAAACAAATCACTTTGAACCAATTTAAAAAAAGAGTGCATACTTCGATTTTGATTTATATTCACGAAGTTTGTCCACAAACAATTGTTGAATTGGATCGGATACTTTTTGCATAGCGGGAACCATAATACCGAAGTTGCGACGGCATTCCGCCGATACGGAGCGAAGTCCAGACAAAACAGTTTTGGTAAGCATCTAATAAATAAAAGAAATCATCAACAACAAAATTATTATTAAATAATGTAACGATTGAACGTTGGAAATGTAATGTGATTATGTTCTAGAAATTGGCAATGCCATTGAGTTTTGACGTTCTTTTTTCTAAAGTCATATCTCTCAGTTATGTAATTTACTATACCGAAAAAATATTATTCACTTAAAAGTGTTAGAAAAATAATTAAATTTAGCAATAAATCAAACAATCACCATGGATTTATATTGCAAACCCAAAAAAAGTGTGCGTTTCACTTGCAAAAAATCCAAAGTAATCGAAATTTTTTGCACTAAAACAAATATCGAAATTTTTTTACCTTTTTTTTCTTTTCAGTGACAAAAATGTGAGCACAAAACAGAGCTGAGTACGACAAACGTCAAAGATGTCGTTCTAGACAGTCCTCTAGTGCGCAAGTAGAGAACTATCGAACCATATCACACCGATGGCTGCGTTCAATTACCATTTGAGCTTTCGTTGGCAAAATTAAACGACTAAATAATGATGGAAATGAAACAAAAAAAGAAGAAAAAAACCAAAGAAAAAACCCAAAATCAGAAAAACATTTATTCATTTTATATAAAACGTTGGAATATTTTGCACTGAATTTTGTTGTGATGAATACACATTAGTCAGTGATTGAATTGAATGTCATTGCATGCGATTTGAATGTGATAATGTTGTTGTTGCTTATTTAATCGCAAATCCAATTTCATCATCGTGTATAACATTCTAAAGAAGGATTCCGATGAACTGAATGAAAATTATTAATGAACATGAAGAGACGACAACAACAAAAAAAATGAACAACAACGGCAACAAAATAATAATAATACATGTAATGCATAATAACCACATTTGTATATGTAGTGCCGGCATGTGCATCGGTTAAACAGAATACACGCATGGCCATAAATGAATGAGCGAATGAGAAGGCGAAACACACGATCCATTGAAATGCATACCATACAAAAAAAAATGAAAAAAAAAACTGAAGTGCAAGAAGAAAACGAAAAAGACAAGAAAAATTGAGAGAGAGACAGAGAGCGAGAGAAAGAACAAGAAAAAAACCAAAAAGAGATTGAACATCATTCATTTATTCAACAATGCGAACACAACGAGGCATCGAAGCAGAGAGAAAGAGACAGGGAACGGCGCGTGAGAGAAACAGCGAGATACCGTACGACTACGAGTCATATAACCATTATCATGCTTCAGTATTTGTGTGTGCGTATCAAAATTCATTCATAAATGCAGCCAAGTCTGCTGGTTTTCTGAATATATGTGGGTATTTTGACTGCTTCGTACAGCACTTTGCTATCTGCTCTTCACGTTGCTTAGCGTCACACATCTTAAGGCCAATATACACACACATTTATACACAGTGTGTGTGTGTACTTTTTTTGTGTGTTGCATTCTTCTTCTTCTTCTGTCGTTGTATTCTACCGTCTTCATTCGAGTTTTGAGTGCCAACCTACGTGCCTCGTATTATGTTTTTTATTTATCCTTTGTTTCGTTTTTTAACTTGAAAATATAGTGTTTAAGTGGTTCCAAGAAAGGAGACACACAAGAAATAGATACATGTTGGGCATAACAAAAAAAAATTTGTGTGTTTTATTTCGAAAGTTCAGTTTTAAAATGCAGTGAAGAAAAAAAGGAGCTTCGCAGCGATCTCAAGTGTTTCGTATAACGTATAAACAACAAACTGGTAAAACAATTGTTAGAACCTTGAAAAAAAATAAAGTGCAAAGTGAAATGGACAACGGTTTCATTCAAAGTCAAAGAGTCAACGCAAAGAAACTTCGAAAATCAGTTCATTGAGTGTGCGTATAGTCCTTTAAAATACACAGTTAACATAAACTACTTGAGCGGTATGGTCATTGCATCTCATCGATTTATAATCATTTTTTAAGAAATTATTCAAACGAACAGAACAAAAAATATATATTTGTGTGGTTTTTTTGTCGTTGTTTCAATATGCAGGGCTAATAAAAGCGCGCACACACGATTATGGTCAGTTATTAAGTGTTCTATTTGCGTTTAGTTGCTTTTGCTTATGCAGCTTAATTATAAATCAAATACTTGCAATTAACGTCGGACTGTCTACTGAAGTTTTTGTGCATATGTGTGCACGTTATGTGATATGGATTTGAAAGACAACGTCGTTATAGACATGCCGATAGCAGCATAAAAAGAAATTTTCATTTTTGAATGATTGTTGGGTTATTTTTTTTTTTTGTATATGACAGATTCTACGATTTTATTTCATTCTTAATGTTTATATATATGTATGTTTATGTGTGCAAAATGTCATTTTTGTCCCTCTACAACTCGTGCCTTAATCTTGTGATATTTTAAATATTATTATTCGTTATTTGTTTAAACAAACAGTGACGAAAATTTGTAAATTGAATAAAAAAGGACAAACAATTAAAAAAAAAAAAATAATTTTTACGAAGAACGAAACAGGCTGATCTCGTCATTTTTATCGTTTCCCTGTATCTTGAACGCTCTCTCGCTCTACCCCGTTAGTCTTCCATCAAATCAACATTTTGAAATATATTTGAATTTGATAAAAGCTGAAAGAACATCAACATAAAACAAAACAAAATGAAATAAACGAGATACACACATACACAAACACAGACCGCGTATAAAAGTCGTTGCAATACAATAAGATTATTTATAATTTTTGACTGTGCTGTTTTTTAAATGAGCCAAAAAAGAAAGAACGATATCAATCGTGTATTGGTGATCTCATGTGATTTATAAAATCCCTTACAATAACTGTGTCAACAAAATATCATATAATATTTACACCTTTACAATAGCAACATATTCGGTGCACAGAAGAAAAAAAAAAACTATATAATAACTATTTGGAGCAACTTTTTATTATTTTGCTCGTCATATTTTCTATGTTGATTTATTGAGAATTAAATACGCAAATCGAGAGGAATTTTTCAACTGTCTACGTCGTCATTTTTTTCGGGATATTCGGAAGGAATCTCGAAAAACGAATGCAACTTCATTATTGAATTGTTGGGTAAGTCGATTTGAATGTAGAATAAATGTATCATGCAATCAGTATTTAGTTGTTCTTTCCTCTTCTTCATCGTTTTCAATCGTCGTTTTTGATTATCAAATTATTCCGAGAAATGGGGAAACTGAGGAAACAATCTTTCCATGCTAGTAAACTTGATATCACAAAAAGACTCATTGAATCGCTTTAATCATAGTTTTTTTTAGATTTAATCATATATTTTTCTTTCTGCCGTTTTGTATCATACAGAGAAAAAAAGAACAATATTTTTTGTCGATTTGAATTGCTTTGCGTATACAACACACGAATTTGATTCTCCTTGAATCTATCAACACTCGCTTGCTTTTTGTATTCATTTTGTGGTTAAGCCTATTTGATAACTGAAGTAAAAAAAACACACACGTTCAGATAATGTGTTGAAATGGATCTATAATCGAAAGATTGCCAATACGATTTTCATATATGGTTGTGATCTGATGATGATACACGATCAAAAACTCATAAGCGTTGTGCACTTGTAGTTGATTAATTCGAATAGAACGATCCATGTCCACATCCATGGAATAAAGAGAAAAAAAACCACCGTTATTATGAACATTTGCCAAAGGAATATATGTCGGTCTGAAATTCAAGTGCGATCATTGTTGAGTACCTGCCACGTTGTCGGATAGTTCAATCGATTTGAAAACCGATCGATCGGTAAAATCGGTTGGATTTTTGTCCAGGATGGAAATTAACCGCAACAAGTAACCGAAGCCGATATTTCCCGATTACACTTTCGCCGGTTTCGACCGACCCAAAGTATTTTATTTTCTTATTAGCTTCCGCAAATATTAACAAAATTACACAACATTGTTCAATTCAAGGCGCACAAGGAAAGAAAAACCAGCAACTAGGCTCAAGTTTTATGTTTTTTTTTTATATTTTGTAATCTTGTCTCTCTTATCGCAAAAGGTATCGTGTAAAAATCCGTGAAGCCATACAACACACGGCTTGTCATTTTTATGTGTATGAGTACCGAAAAAAAGAGATTGGTTTTTGAGAAAGGATCGAGCGAAAACGAAAAAAAGTTCCCACATTCCGAAATAATCTGTTAATGGTGTGTTGGTATACAAACAGCCATGAAATTTTAGATGATGCCTATATAGAGTATATTTTCATTTTGCGCTGTTTCGTCTTTCATTTCTGCTATATATATTAAATTTATGAACCTCCAACAAGATAGCACAGAGCGGTTTATCTTACGGACAGACTTTCTTGTGTGATATTTAGGGAGGTTTGCCAGCCAATATTCAATTTATTTTGTCCTCTTTCTCTTTTTTTTTCTCTCGAGCATCAACACCAACAACAACAACAGCCGAAAATAATAAAGAGAAGAGAAAAAAAAATCAACACACACATTCGATTTTGCGCTGCGTTCTCATGAATGTCAGCGCACACATTTGGCCCTGTTGAGAATTGTATGGGAAAGATAGATGTGCACTGTGTGTGCAATGTGCTGGCAAGTGTTTCGCCTGTTTAAGGATATCAAATATTAGTTCTTTATAAAAGCACCCTAAGATGTGTGTCGTAGCGCATTGTATCAAATATCGTGCACATGTTGTCGTACTTTTTTCTTCTTCTTCTTATTCTTCTCATCTCTCACTGATCATTTTGATTCTGTTTCGCCCTCTCTTCGTGATTTGGTGGGCTAGGATTGCATTTAAAACATTCAACACAATGTGGATGCACTGTATATCGAGTGCACACACACACACACACATGAGCGCGATCGTTCACACACAACGTCCCAGAGATATATTGAAGGAGCATGAAAATGGAATACAAAATGTATGCGCGCGGCTGAGAAAATCGATAAAGAGCAGCGAGCGAGCAAAAGAGAGCGAGAGATCTAACGTTTCATTCAGAGCACGAAAAACTCTATACCTGCAAGTCTGCAACAGCAGTGAATCTTAAACAGATAAAGAAGATGGAACAAAAGCAGAACGAATAAAACACTCTGTGAATAGGTTTTTTTATTCTTTTGCTCTTCGAATCGCTCTCACTCAATTTATCGATGCAGTTGTGCGTTGTTGTTGTTGTTGTTCAATGTGCGTTTGGTGTTTAGTTCTTGTACGCATTTTCCCATGTTATATTTTCTCTCTCTCTCTCTTTTCATCATCATCGTCATCGACTTCTTCTTCTTCTTCTTTTTTTCCCTTAAACAACACAAAAAAAACTCTATGAGGTATATTATGTAAAGAACATATGTAGAATATTGTTTCATGTGAAACTACAGCAAATCTCTAGTTGCCGATGGTTTTTGTGTGTTTGTGTTTAATTAGATGCCTGCCATCCACTTCAAGCGTATATATGCTTATCGGTTTTCGATTATTATATCATATGAACAGTTTGTTTTGGTTCTTAATATTTGCCGTGAACATGAGAAAAGATCATCATCAACATAGACAGACAGAGACAGGTCCTTTCAAATAGAGCCTCTATTGAGTGAAAGAAGATGTGAAAAATAAAATAAAAAAAAACCGAACTGTGTTTTGTATGGCATTTTGATCGTGTACAGATCAAACTACAACCGATGAATACTAAGAGAAAAAAAACCCGAAATCATACAGATAGATATATTGCAAGACAAATAGAATCCAAATGTTGTGTTGTTGCTGCTGCATTTGTTAATGCATTTCAAAAATACATTTCGTTTAATTTTTTGTTCTCTCTTTTCGATTCTCTTTTTTTTTTTTTTTGTTTTTTTTGTTCTCACGCATCGCAGTTTACTCGAAATGGAATTCGAAACATATGAGTCAGAATTAGCAGACTACTCACTGCAAGACTCGCCATTCTATGAGGCTAACACCCCAATCATTTTCGGTTTAACAGCATCAGCTCAAAGTGTATTTGCATCAAATAATTCAACATCGATGGTGGACGCATTGAATTTATCACCGAAAAAATATACATCGTCATCGATAATGATGTCGTCGGCGGCGGCAAAATGTCAATCATCGCATAAATTGGCGTTTGAACGTTCAACAAATGGTAATCATATTGGTAAATCTTGTAATAATAATGATGGTCCAATAAATCTAAACAATGGCGGTGCCATCGGTACATCGTCAAAAAAACGCAATGTTAATGAAATGGCTGAACGGTTCTTTTCAATTAAAAATACGGATCTCGCTGCAAACAACACCACCACCACCACCACCACTGCTGCCACAACCACCGAAACCAATAAGAAAAAGCGAAAATGCGTCACATTCTTACCAAATTATGTGCAGGTAATATAGAATTCTAAACTATCCATAATAAACGTGATCATTCCAAAATTAAATGTAATCATCTAAATGACGGTTCTCGTGTCTGTGTGTGCTGTTGAATTTCACAATATGATTATTAAGATCTTTGGAAATTACGGTTCAATTTCTTCATGTGTCGACAGGCATGAGGGGGTCATCCTTATTCTCCGTTTCGTGCAAGAATTTTGTGCGGTTGAAATAAAAACACACACATACATACATACACCTCAATTTATCGTATAGACATTGTTATTATAAATTTGTTCTTAATTCAACAGCATTATGACGGTGGCGCTCCAATTCAAATAAAAGAAGAGCCAGAGGATTGTGGCATTCGAAGTATTCAAAAGGTACCATCACTGTCCGATCTCTCCGATCCAGAGAATTCATTGGGTACGTACACACTATCATTCATATAACGCGTGTATATCGCATCAATTGAAGAGAGAGTCCCCCTGCGCGCGTGAAATATACCATAAACTGTTGTTTTTTTTTATGAGACATGTTTGATTTACATGACACGCATAATATACGAAGGCCATATTATAAAAGGTGATGAGTGTATTTAACACTTTCGCTATCTCTATCTAGAATATCAGACCATTCATGCTTGTTTTGGTGTGTATGTTGCTCGGATGAGCAGCAATTTTTTTTATCTTATCATATTTTCAGTAAGTTTATTGATATGGATTAACTCACGCTCTTTCTCTCTTGATGTTGCGATACTTTTTTTTCCGTCTATTGACACAATCAAATACATAGGTGTATTTCATTTTATATGACAGTATATCACGATAATAATATTTCACCAAGTCAATTGAAAATTTACAGTATCCCTTCGTTAATTCGAAACCATCAATCAATTTGAATTTTATTGATTAAAGTTTCAATTCAACGTTTAAATGTCATCAATTCAATTCAAGTAATCTTTATAAAATGTCGTTTTTCGTTAATTGTTTCGAAAATGAGATTCGAATTAATATGGGATAACTGTGACATGAAATAAAAAAAAAACGTCAAAATTATTGTTTAGCAAACAAAATAGGCATGTAAATAGAATTTGAGTCGTTGTTCGATAATATCGAAGCGTTTGTGACATGTACAAAGTATAGACGCGCAACCTAATTGTAAAAGCGACACCGCTAAATTATGCATTTGAAAATGTGAACATAATTACACACAAATATAATTACCTAGTCTAGATAAATGTACACATTTGTTTTGTTTATCTGTAATTTATTTATATTAAATGGTATTCGAATGTTCTTTTTGATGAATTGTCGAGAGATATTTTTAAAATTAAAATTAAAACCACCGAAAATGTGTCATTTCCATTTCAAAATATGTGAAGTGACTACGTGTGCCTTTAATCTCAATAATTTGTCATGTGTTTTTGTTGTTGTTATTTTTCTTCTTTTAAAAATAACATTAAAGGGATATAGGAAATGAGCCGAAACCTTGTAATAAAAGTTTTTATGACTTTGACAATGCCCTTTTATTGAGCGATATGGAAATTAGGAAGTAGACACCTAAAACAGGAATTTTTCACTTCATTTTCTTATAAACCCAAATTCCGAACGCTTTTCAAATCATTGCCATTCAATAGACGAACTCGTTTCGTTGAGAGAAACTGGACCCATAAAAACACACACACACACACACACACACACACACACACACACACAACACAATGTATTTTCGGTTATGTGTAAATAGTATACGCACTTTCATGATCTGGTAACAACAATGCTTCAGTTTATAATAACACTCATTATGCGAGCCAAACGTATGTCCATTTTATTATCATATATAGACTGTATATATGAGTGATTGAGAAGAGTTGCGGACATAAAGACAGAGAACAAGAAAGACGGAGAGAGAGGGAGAGAGAAAAGTGTGTGTGCTCGTGTGTTCTCTGCATTGAAATGCGTTCAAACCGCTCAATCATTGAAACAATTATCGGCCCAAACCAGCCAGTGAACACGCTTCAATGGATTTAGATAAATATTAATGAGCATCTCGGCGTTATTTTCTGCACATATTCACAGCAAAATCCCAATATTGCTGCTCTCCCCGAAAGGAACGTTGCAGAAAAATAGAGCAAAAACAAAAGCAGACACACACTGACGAAAAGCAACGAAAAAAAAAACACACGACACACACAATAAAAAAAAAACAAGAAAGAAGCCGAAACAAAACGAAACGAGTGAAAAACTAACATATGAAATTTGAAGTTAAAATAAAGTTCGAACTATATCTGCTTTTAAAAATACAAAGTAAACAACAGGAGATATTTTCTGAAATTACCTTTGAATATATTGGGCTGTGCAGTGAAGAGAGAGAGAGAGAGCAGAGCAAATATTCGACAAAAAAACATAAACGAATTGAATACAGATAGAGCGGCTCAAGTCAGCTAAAAATACATATATGTAAAACAGCCGTGCCAACGGCAACAACAACAACAATAACAGCCGCGGCAACAGCAGCGGCAGCATCGAATACACAATCAGTGATCGCGACCACGACCACGGTAAAGGCATCAACTGATCTGTGGTCCGCGATAGAAAACTTGAATGAATTGAAAATGAATGAAACAAAACGCGCACAAAATATGAACGACGCGTTTGTATAATGGAGAGTTCTGTTCTTCATATCAACACGTCGTTTACAATACTTCAAGAAAGTATATGTAAATAGCGATCAAAGTATCATTCTCTTTCGTATCGGTCTTTACGTTGTTGATTGTCGTTTTTTTTCATCGAACACTCTGACTGTCTCTGTCTTTGTATTTAGTTGTTGTTTTACATCTTTTTTTTTTGTTTTAATTTTTTTTTTTTTTTTACACAGCCTCGACAGTACAATTCGAAAATGTATTTATTGAATGGTTCTAAACTTGGTTTCGTAATTACTGTCTTCTTGTATTTCTCTTTCTTGATTCTTTTTTATCTGTGTCTCATTTGGTTTTCAATGCCCGCGCACTCACGTTCTCTCCATCTCTCACTCTATCTCGCTCACCGACTACTCTTTGTATTCGTTTTGTTCTTTCAAGGAAAAAAATTATATATATATGGGAAAAACAACAACATGAAGTGTTTGAAATGCATACGAATTGCACGTACATCATTTGTCTGTGTGCAGTGGTGTCGTACAAACACTGTTGCATCCGATGTGAACATATTTATGTATACATTGTCACTGCCAACGATCTCTCGCTCGCTCTCCGTGTGTGCATTAAGCTTTGCGCATCGTATTCGTGGTACATAACTTGGACGTTATGCATATGCGCGTTTTGCTGGTATTTTTTTTTTTTTTGTTCACTGCCTCGTTTCATTCATTTTTTTTTTGCTCCCGCTTTGTTTTCGTTAGTTTTTCTATCTTCGTCTTCTTTTCTATTCTTCGATTTGTTTCTATTTTAATTTCAAACTGATGAAAACGGTGTAATGTTATTACATTTCAATTCATTCATCGGCAAAATACACATGCCCTTTCATTGATCGATTAAAAACAACAACGATTTTGCTATTCTTATCCCTCGATCGAGTATCTTTTGGCAATTTATCAATTTCATATTGCGAAATCATTTTCAATTTCCATCAATCGTCGTCAAGTCAAAAATTACATTGAATGTCAGTGGAGGGCACAAGGATGAAAAAAGTCTCATCGTGTATTGTAAAGATAACGACAATTTACAATTGAAAATACAAATGAACGCCATCTACTGTACAATGAGACAACTGACACACCATCGAAAGCTTCATTCTTTGGACAGAAAAACCGTGCAACGGTTCATGAAAAACCATATGAAGTCAATGCGCGTAGTACGTGAAGTGATTTTAAAGTTTTCAAACACAGCACATTTGACGGATTTTAAAGATTGGTTTTTAGAACTTTAAAACGCCGACTTTAAAGTTTTCATTCTGCAAGTTGAACTTTTCTTTATAAAAAGGACTAATTCTATGCCAGATGGGACAAGTCAATCTGTGCTTATTTCGACCAAATAAAAATGAAATTAAGTTGATATTTATATAAAAAGGTTGAGCCAATTTAGAACTTTAAGGCAAATTTGTATATATGACTTGTTGCATTCAGTGCAACCGAAAAAAAGCCATCCATATATGGTATAGACTGGTTACCGGGAAAAAAACGCGCACCGTGTTGGTCTGTAAAGGGCATTGCGTAATTGTTTATGTATTTGAATTTTTCATAAAGAATGTGCATCGGGGCGCCAACGTTTCTGGGGAAACAAACAGGAAGTTTATCTGTTCTCAATGTTCTCACTTAAATAAATGTTCCACCGTATGTGGAGTAAAATTACAAATTGTTTTTATTACATTTCTCTCTCTGTCTCTGTCTCTCTCACTCTCCAATACACAAAGTTTTTCATTTGATATAGTTGATTTATAAATAGAAAAGAAAGTCAATCGCACTAGTTGTGTGTTTTCAATTTCACACTAAGCAAACGAATAATAAATTTCGTCAAGTTGAGCATTTGAAATGAAAAGTGCGTAATTTTTTTCTACTTCTGTGGCATAAATGTGTGAATGTAAAAACACGGATAGTCGTTTCGAATTCATCAATAATGAATCGTTTTTGTTGGTTTTCATTTCGGCATAGGGCACATGCTATAAGTAACACAAGTCAAACACATATTCGGTGTATATTAAAGAATATGTTTGACAATGTTGTCAAGTGAAATATTATGGCATGACATTTGTTATTATGATATAGGCTCGTTACGAATCCGGCCAGGATTTTGAATACATTGTGATTGATTGAAATTCAGCGATTGACTTAAATGAGATTTGGGCATGACCAGAACAATCGAGCAAATTTCAATTGAACACTTCTTTTGCGTATATTATAAAATTAAAGCGATCTTCAGCATAAATGTAATTTTCATCGAACATATTATGGATAGAGGGAAGCGTGTCACTTTCAATTTCAAATATGTTCACACAGAATGAAATGTAATTTTAGTTTTGTTTCTTTCATTCATTCGATATATAGCTGGCGGTTACACGCTCCAACATTTATGATCATTAAATTTTTCGATGGTTTTGGATCATATGAAGATTTACATACTGAAGATATAAAATAGAACCATAGGACGTACACCATCGATAGAGAGGTAGAGAGAGAGAGAGAAAACGGTGAAAGCAAATATGGAGCTAGGCAACGCATCACATATTAATACACCGGAAATATCTAATCACTGCCTCAGTATCAGTTGTAAGAAGCTAGTGTGAATTAGATCTCCCTCTTGCTCTTGCTATCGTTCTCATTTTGCTTCGTTCGTTCTATCTATCTCCGTTTTGCGGTAGAAATGTTTTGCCGAGAATTCTAAACACACAATTTTTTATGATGCTCGATATCGGCGCACTGTTTACAATACA